GGTGGCAACTCATCAACGTCCACATCACCACCGGGCCAAGATGCTAGCAGCTCAAATCACACTGCAGGTTGGAATCATCCCGAGGTAACGGAGAGGCAAAGGAGTTTTGGCAAAGGTTCATCCAAACATCCCTCGAGAAAGTCTGGGAACTTGGCGGACAAGTTCCCCCAGGCCACACGAGCCAGTGCACTTAGATCACTTCGGTCCTCCATCATGGGTGGCAGTCAAGTGCTCAGGGACAATGCAAAGAGATACTGGGATGATGACGGATATGATACCGACGACACTCGCATGATTGACCATGGAGTAGAGGAAGGATTAGGTACCTTGAATGCGGGTGAAGAATGGGAGCAGGACGTACCCGTGGAATTTATTATGCAAAAGCCAGCAGCAAAGCCTCAGTATTGGATTTGATACCACTCCATCGTCGTATTTAGTTTAAACCAGTCATAATGAAGTAGTTAAGTGGTCATCTCAATGGTTACATCTTAAGCGCCTTTGGTATTGGAAACAATCGGTGCTACTATGACAGCTCTTACAAGTTCTTACCTTATGATAACCCCGACCATAATCATCAATACGTCGGCACCACAAAATGTAGCATCCAGAGAGATCATGAGTGCACTTAGACTACATGCTGTAGCAAACATATTTCCAATGCGTAACAGGTCGTAAAACCTCCAGATGAAATAGTTTCATCGAAGGTACGCCATAATTGTTCAACGGCAGTGTCAAGTTGCCCCTAAATGACGGTTTTGTAGCCATGGGTCGCAGTTCAGTGTCTGTATCAGGCGAGTTTGGGTGTCGCTATAAGATTTGAGTTTTGAGCACAGAATATATTCTCATCAGTACCTTAGTTGTTTGAACTGAATATCCATTCTTCCAGAGTGCAACCAAACGTGGGCACCACAGCCGCGGATCTGCATATGTGCAGATTAATATCCCCGAAGTGCAACAGGAACCAAGCCCATTTAAAAGCTCTGGCACATGCCTAGATACTATTACTCATGTTGTTTACAGGTCCTCCTTCAACATACACTCAATCACGTTCCCCAAGCCACAACAAATCCACACCTTAGCAATAATTAAGCCAGCTGCCTCAACAACATTGTTCAGTTCATGCAAAGTTCTCTGGCAACCATTTGGACTAACGGTAAGGACAAATCCTGCGATGAGTCCCATGGCCTGGAATTCACCATAGTTCTTCAGCAACGGGGGCGGCGCGTTGGGCAACATGGTGTCGCCGCATGTCGGGTGCATCATGTACTCGCCAATGAGCAGGCGCGACTTTCCGGGCGTCATAGCATTCTTGACGTGTGTGAACATGGTAATTAAGTCTTCGTTCTGCCAGTCCACAATGACCGAGCGGAACCAGTATACATCGGCGCCCTTGACAGGGTTCTCGTTAAAGAAATCGTGCGTGGTGAGCTTGACCGCGCCGGTTGCCAAGGCCCGCGGGTCCGTCTTTTGCCAGTGGGCAGTGGCGTGCTTGATCATGCCGGGTTGATCCTGAACGATGCCGACAAAGTCGTTCTGACGGTCGGGGAAGTTAGTTCGCAGGGCTTGAATCGAGCTGCCGAGCCCTCCGCCGACGTCAACGACCACGGCACCATTCCGGAGAATGACTTCCCAGGGGTATCCCCGCACGTCTGTCAGCCCGTGCAAGTACTCCCCCAGCGATGCGAGCCATAAGTTGAAGCAGTCACGCCACTCGGGATACGCGTTCAAGAACTCGAACTGACCCATGCCCTTGCCGATGGTCTTGGAGAAAGCCGAATCTCGAGGGGCATGGCTAGCGCAGAGAACTGGGTCCTTGAGAAGGCGTGGGAGCACGTCAGCTGTAGGGTAGAGAAATGAGGCGTAGCGCACCGAGTTGGCGAGACGCTCATCGGTCGCCAGGGCGGTCGATGCGTCGTCGTTGGCGAAGACGCCGAGGGCTGTCTCGGAGAAGATGTGGTGCGCACACAACATCCTCATCACGAGTGCCAGCTTGTTAGTATCGACGATTCCCGTCTTCGAGGCGAGGGTGTCAAGGTGCATGGGCCCGTTGGTCGCCAGCAACTGGGGTATATCCCATTCGACGGCCATATGCAGTGCGCGCGACACGAAATAGCTATGAGCCAGGTGGCCGAGACGCCACTGTGGCGTGAGAACGGCTGCCTCGAGTGAGGCTGCAGCGGCGATGATGCATTTGCGGACCTCCTCTGTCTTTGGTCCTCTCGGGATGCGAATATCGGCTCGGTCGCCGGCCGTGGACTTGCGAGATGGAGAGTAGGAAAGTTCGGTGATGAGGTCATTCACCGAGGTGGTTAGTAAGTCCATAAGGGACCGGAGCTTGGTGATCTGTTGTTCTGCCGCTGCCGTAGGCATGTTGAATGAGGAGTGCGAATGTTTTCTTTTCACTTGCCAACGCTCTCAGTAGTTTTTGCATCTTTTTTCTTTACTTCCTTGATCATCTATTTGACTCTTTCTTGGGGCTCCGACAGCCTGTCCTCTTTGGTGTTATTCCCAATTGATAACTATGAAAGTCCGGCCTCATCAATAGAATTTGGTAATTGCCCCGGTGGAGATGAGCGTGGGCCCAGCCCATCGTGTTCGGGCTCGGAGGTGGTACAGTGAAGATGGTTTTGATACTCTCCGCTGGCGACATGATCGGAAGCCTCGGCTTCAAGTGATGTAATTGCAGTTCGCTTTATAATGTGGGTATTGAAGAGGGTTTGTGATAGTAGAGGTGAGGAACTTCTTGGTGTTTCGTGTTCGTGCTGAGAGCCACTACGATGGACATGGTCAAGGGGCCCATAGACTTCTTATTAGGAGTTCCCCACCCCGAACAGACTTTATGACGAAGTCTTGTCAACAAGGTTAGGGCCCGTGAACCTTTCACCTGTAAAAGCAGTTCCCAAACCTTGATTTTCCCACCAGTTCGCTCAACAGAACTATGCAATCCGCATGAAACGTGTATTTAGACTTCAAGCCCAGCCCTGCCAGGCCATGCTCTCAGCGCGACTCAAATGCCCATTTTGTAATTAGTCCCGTTTCACATGTCAAGAAGAGCCTGGTCCCGGTTCAGATACGTACCTGATCAGTCCGGCTGCCCGGATCGCGTGCGTACTCGCATTCCAAAAATCACCTAGCCATTTCGTTCATTTCTTTCATTATTTTTGTTGTTTTTTCTGCTTCTTCCTGATTTCTTACTATACTTTCTATTTCAATATTGCCGTTCCTTGCGCCTATTGACTCCATCAGTGGGGGTCTGATGTATTAATGCGAGTCCAAAAAGGGCAACCTCTTGCGACATTCGGCATGCAGGACATGCACTCCTAGAAAGACTGACTCAGGTGAACACCAGAAAGAGACCTCTGATCACGTTAGGCTCCGAAAAGAAAGAGCTGTATATCAAAATGGAACCAAACATCATCAGCGCGAGTACCAGCCAAGCAAACAGCCAGGATACCACAATTGACACAAGCAACCTCGCCATGAAAAATCACGACCTAACCACCCTCCATCACGCTGACGGCACCTCGAAGAGAAATATCTACAATGAAGTTGAATTTTCCGCCTCCCCTAAAGGAGATCCGCTAGTTTCCTCATGGCTCCCCACCCTCCACAGCTCTATCTCCGCCCTCTTACGCTGGACGGGCGCCTACCCGGCCTACATCCAGAACGCACATCTCGCTTTCGTACGTGAGGCTGTAGTTCCCCGCCTTAAGCAACCACCCGCCACGGCTGATAGGCTTCACTATATTCTAACGCACAATCACTCGCCCTACGAAGCAAGCCTCGCCTTTGCGTCTCATCAACCGCCCAAAGTGCGGTTTACAGTGCAGCCACTGGTAGACCCTAGCATTGCAGGCGGGGATCCCCTGGGGCAGAAAGGACTGCGACAGAAGTTGGAGAATCTGGCGGCTTCTTGCGGCGCAGACCGCACTTGGCTGGATGCCTTTGTTGATTCTGTCTTTCTCACTGACGCGGAAGAGTCGGGCTTGGTCGATAAAGCAGCTAATGGTAGCGCTGAAGGTGCTCTACCGCGGCAGATCTGCTATGCTGGGTTCGACTTCGAATCTGGAGGGAAAGATGGAAAAGCGGCCATCGGAATGAAAGCGTACCTGTTTCCGCAACTCAAAGCGCTTGCAACCAGTCAAAACCTGGTGAGCATCACCGAGTCTATCGTGACACGGCTTGCGGAGGGTAACGAGGGTATGATGGCCGCCTGGCAACTCCTGAGAACGTTCCTCATCTCCTACGGGGAGGGAAACATCAACATATACTTCCTCGCTATTGACTGCCTCGCTCATGAGATGAAACCTCGTTTTAAGATATACGCTCACACACATGCCAACTCTCTCGCCTCAGCCCGTCATATCTTCACCTTGGGTGGCCGCCTGGCCCATTCCGCGGATTTCCTGCCACAAGTCTGGCCACTGCTGATGGACATGGAAGACGTACCCCAAGCCGACATGGACGACCTGGAAAAGCCGTTAAATGACCCAGACAGCAAGTATTGCGGGCTCTGCTTTGCATTCGAGATGATGCCGGGCAAGAATGTTCCGCAAGTCAAGATGTACATCCCGATGTGGCAGTACGCGCGCGACAAGGCTGGAGTCGTCGAGAGGTATGATCGCATACTCAAAACCCAGGGGATGATGATGGGGGATTACGACTTGAAAGCTGCTGTAAAAGACGCCTTGTAAGTATCATCCTTGCCCAAGAGGACTTACTGGGCTCCTCAATGCTTATCAATACTAACTCGTGGTCCTTCTTTTCCATCGAAAAAGCAAGAGTGAGACAGATTCTGGTCTGCATACTATGGCATCGGTTTCCTCATCTCAGAAGGGTGTAGGCTTAAGCACCTACTTTGGGCCAAGGCTTTGGTTGTGAGCTTAGTTAATCTGGCGCTGTGTTGTACTACGTTGGGTTGTAATTTAGGACACATGCTTCATCCGAGGTCGGGAAACATTATCAAACTTGTATTTCTTGATAGTACCGTATAGTGTAGCTTACGCACACTTCCCTTTGTCCAAATACTTCGTGACGGCATCGTCCGCCTGAACCAGGCTGTTCACATGCAGTAGAACATGGTGGTCCGGCCTGACAATAATCGCCTTCCCCTCTTTGATTTCCGGGACCATTTCAAACCAAGTTTCGGCCAGACCAAGTCTTGCCACATCAATTGCCCAGTGGCAGGATGCGAACGCCGGATTTGCGTAGTGCAGCACGGTGAATCGATCGTAGGGTACAATGTCCAAAAGCGATAACCCATCGTTGATGGTCCCGTGAGGCAGTCTTGCTCCAGGACACGCCCGTGGGACGTATACCGTTGGGTTTTCAAGAAGAGACGGCGTGCAAGACGGATCGTCGTAGATGAATCCGAGCTGGAGGGCTAGAGAGTCAAAATGTCTGCTCGCCTCTGTGACCGCCTCAGCCGCCGCAGCGGAAACGACGGGTCGTTGGAGGAATTCATCCATGGTGAGATCTGGCGCCTGTGCCCTCGCTTCTTTGTACTGAAGGGCAAGGCCAACCAGTGTGGTACTGACGGAATAGAAGGCAGCCTCGCTAGCCTTGGAGTACTCAATATTTGCCAAAGCAACGGGTCGACGCTCACGGGTGAAGCTGGTGAGAAGGTTCGGGGTGCCTTTCCCCTGGATTATGGCAGCAAGCTTCCACGCTAGGTTGTGTGCATCGGCTATGCCCGTGTTGAGACCGAGACCGCCCTGAGGCGGCAAGCTGTGGGCTGCATCTCCCACAAGAAACACACGGAGCGTTGCGTCACTGTACGAGGATGCCACCCGAGGGGCAGTCTCCCAAATAGTACGAAGAACCTCCGAGTACTGCAGGCCTGGAAGGCAGGCCTCGATTGGTGGTGCCTTGGGTGGTCCATCGGTTGACGCAGGGTCCATGACAGGAACGACGTGGACAAAGGAGGAATCGACATTGTGTGCGATGAACTCGCTGGGATGCTCGGGGTGGAAGCAAAAGTAGAGCATGGCCTCGCGACCCGGCGGAAGCGCAGAGCGCAGACTGCCTTTACAGACAATTGACTGGTAAGCATGGCCAGCTCCCAAGGATTCGAATTCGATGCCGGCCGTCTTATCCCGCACGGTCGAGTTAGCGCCATCGGCACCAATGACGAAATCGGCCTCGATGCTGTGCGTTTCCATGTCGGGATCTTGTCCCATGGGACTGCACGAAACGACGCAGCCAGTCTCCTCCACATCCGTAATGCCCACTGCATCAACCTGCCAGCCCCTCCTGACTTGAACAAAGCCGGTCTCGGCTACCGCCTTCTCGAGCAGGCGTTCTAGCTCTGGCTGCGGCCAATTCACCAAAGGCTCCGGTGTCAGAGTACGAATCTTATCATCCTGGCGTTCATAGGGGAAGCAGCCAATCTCGGCATCGGCCAGGCCATAAACAAGACGCACTAGTCCGGCATCGTTGGCCGTCGCTGCATGTTTTCGGATATAAGCAACATCCAAGCCTGCCTGGCGGAATATTTCAAGTGTCATGGGATTGATCGTGTGTGCTTTGGGGTGGTCAGCAACGCCTAGGCGCCTCTCCAAGACGATGGACTCGATCTTCTGGCGGGCAAGGAGATAGGCCGTGAACAAGCCGACCGGACCCGCACCTGCAATGACGACACGAGTCTTTTCGATTTTCTGCATGGTCTTTCGTGGTCAAGTGCGACTTGGGTTCACGTATGTTTGGCAATGTACTTGGAGTATGGTGTGGTTGAGATTATCCAAGTGGTGATAATGGCTTGATGCTATTGAGAAATAGATGAAGAATGGGAGAAATCTTGATTATTGCGCGACCAGCGGCAAGATTATTACTTCCCCCCACCTCCGTTGTTTTAATTAGGTTTACATGAGGTAAGCCTTGCTTCATGCAAGTATCTCCAAGAAACCAACCGCACGGAACCAACCGCATGACAAAGTTCCTATACTCCACAGACACAGTTTCTTTTATCTGCCCGGACAATACTCCAAATCCTACCAGCCGGGCCAACGTTGATCGATATTATTCACCACCGCACGCACGGATGAACTCTAGCTTACGAGAGTCAAGTCCGACTCTACACTAGGTATTGAAAGACTTGCGCATTCCTACCGACGATTCGTACATGTCTTCCATGGGAAGTTCCATGGGAAGAAGACGGTTTCATGCAGCGCTCACACTTAAGCTGCGGCATCTTCATCCTGATCAGCCATTCGTAGCCCTCAGACTAAGACTTCCTTCGACCTTTCCTCCCGTGACAATCTGACCGATGTGAAAGGATCGCTCATTCCTGACGGGCTAATTCATTCTCCTGTGATCCAATACCTGCTTCTCATCTACTCCAAATGCCAGAGGTCCGTCGTCGATCACGGTGGCTCGCCGCACATCACGAGCAGTCATGTTGGTGTTATAGGGGTTCGCGCGATGCATAGATTTCCTACCAGTTGTCGCGTCTTAGTATATATCACGATATAGATTGTTTTGTAGAGTCGAAAGCAGAAACTCGGATGAACGGGGGAAAAGAAAAACATAAAATGCCCACCGATTATCCCACCACACCATATCGCCACCATCTAACCACTCCATGCTGAAGACATACTCGTACAGATCAGCGGCCCCACGCATAGTCCCGCAAGAGAGTTCTTCGGGCTCACCTTTGGCTGTGTACAGTGATCAATGAGCTCCCAAATCAGCTTCTGGCTCTGCTCAAAGCTGCGCCCCAGTACCAGCTTGGCGTGCGCGGCCAGATATAGCGTCTTTTTCCCGTCCGGCCCAATCTGGACAAGATGGTGGTATGCCGACTTCTCGGCCGCTCGCTCGTTGTCCAGAGGTTGAGCAAAGGCCTGTGGGGAGGCCAGCCGGCGAGAGTGCCATAGGTCATGCTCGATAATCAGATCCTCCAACTCATCCTTTTTGGATGGGGGCAGATCAGCATAAGCTCGTGACGTATCAGCAAAATGAGTCCACGAGCCGCCTTTGACTGGATTGCCGTGGGATAGTAACAGTGAGTACTTTGATCTCTGTTGGTGGAAAGAAGAGTCCTGATCGATGTGTTACCATGGTACGAGCTCATGTTGCGATGGTGGAACTAACCGTATGCCACAAAGCATTGCCTAGGCTGTGATCCCATCGTCTCTGATTAGGCTGTACCGTCGTGCCGTCGAGGTTGATACTGCAAGGAAGCCAATCAGTATCGTATCAATGTCCAAATCAAGTACGAAGCCTTGCACACTTGCTAACGTCCCACAGAAGTGGATCACCTATGCGGTCGTTCTCAATACCATAGAAAAAGGGGTTGATCTCAAGCTCCTGGCCTAACTTTTGGGCAAATTCTATGTGTCTTTTGTTGTCCAGGCCAGTTTTGCGGAAAATCAAAACCCCGTATTGGTCTTGAATCTTCTTGAGCTGTTTTTATTTCCAGCTTATTAGAAAAGTCTAGTTGCGTTACTCGCCAAATCAAAATCGGGTGTGCTCACTATTTCGATATCATCGGCGGGAACCGGGAATGTCCAGTCAATTCCGTCGATTTGGGCGCCGAAGGATGACTGCTCGTCGTGCAGGACTGGAGTGATGATGATGTGCCCCTCGTGAAACTGCTGGTGGTTCCCGCCGCGGCCCCCGACGCTTTGCTGCTCAGAAGGCGGAAACGTGTTTTCGTACCTCCGCGGAAGACTTTGGATCATCGTAACAGCGGGCATAGCGGACCTTGGTTAGCTCAATAATGCGTATCTCGCGATGTGGAATTATCAGATGGACCGAGCATCAGCAATAGAACTCCGGTGAATATATCACCACAGTTGAGACCCCACCCAGCGGCTTCATTGCCGACCGGACCGATACACCGCTGGCCGACCAAGCCGACACTCCGCTGGCCGACCGAGCCGATAGGCTTAAAAGCCTCCCCCAGACAGAAACACTCTTCAGGCCTCCTGAACCTACCTTGTCTCATTTCTGTCCGTGAACCGCGCAGCAGCTTGACAGACCACCCTCCCACAATGACGTCTCAAGACACGATTCTTATCACGGCTGGACCGTACCAGTTCCTGGCGGCCTTTGAGTCAGCCGCTCCCAAGACTGTGGCGGTGTTTCGCAATCTGCTACCATACCGGCAACAACTCATTCACGTACGTTGGAGCGGCGAAGCTGTTTGGGTGCCGCTGGGTGAAGAGGACTTCGGCCTGGGATTCGAAAACCACACCAGCCATCCTGGAGCAGGCCAGATTCTTTTATACCCCGGAGGCTACTCTGAAACGGAACTGCTGTTCTGCTACGGCGGCGTGTCGTTTGCGAGCAAGATGGGCTCCCTTTCTGCAAATCATTTCTTGACCATCACTGAGGGTGCCGAGAACCTCAGAGCGTTGGGCGAGCTGGTTCTTTGGAAAGGAGCACAAGATGTCTTGTTCGAGCTGGCAGATGACGAGAGGTTCGTTCAATATTCATCCCCATGGAAATTTGGGAGCTAACGTCCGATAGGATCGGCACATTCAGGCGGAACAGCCAGACAATGACAAAGGTTTCTAAACTGTGACCGCTTAAGTGTGCCCACCTACGAATGAGAAGTCCTGGTATTGTCACACCTGGTGCATATGGGGATTTTATAGATACGGCTGAAACTGGCTGCACGAAGCTCAATTGCACCAGATGAACACAAAAAGATCAATAATGAAAAAATTTCATTCGCACGCATCATGACACCCAATGGGATCGCAACCCAAAATCATACGCCTTGGCCTTTTAGCGAAATGGGCGGGAGGTAATAGAGGACCAGGATGAAATCCTAACCACGACAACCTACTGATACCCGGGCTAGATATCCCTGCTAGTTATAGTACAGGGTATTTCATTGGTATTTGTTATCTTCAGAGTGGAGGTTATCTAGGACTCCCCGGTGTAATCCCACATGTGCCGACGTGAAAGATGTGACGTTGATGATAAGACCTGTCGGTTCCATCGGCCAGCGGGCCGCTCGGGTTGATACCGACCCACCTCCTCCACGCAGCTGTACCTCATTATCTTCCAGATAACCCAGCTGAAGTCGGTTTGATGACCAAGTCCATCTATCATATTCAGTGTTTACTGTTCGAAATACGAGATTACAAGCATTGCTTCCTCGTCCTGCACACTAACCATCGCGATGGGCCTCATGTTGAAGCCAGGGGCTTACGGACCCTTACCAACCTTTTTTACTGACGACCAAGAAATCGACTACGAGTCGTACAAGAAGCACTTACTGAGTTAGCTATTGCTCCTTCTCCTGATATGATTCCTGTTAATAGATCATTGTGCAAGACCTCGCCAAAAGGGGAATCAGTGAGTGGTCCAAATTTCCTGCAGAATATTGGTTACCCCGTGAAGCTCCGCCATTAACATGTCTAGACCCCGTGTGCGCGGGATCGTTGGGCGAAGCAGTACATTTGGTATGCAAATCCAATCTGAGCCATTATTCACGTGCGGGGCCTTGTCTTAATCATCAAGAGCCATAGTCACCAGAGGAACGCGTTGCTCTCATTGACTTCATTAGACGCACACTTCACGACGCCGGCATGACGGACATGCCCATTGTGGCAGGCGTGGGTGGTTCTAGCACCAGAGAGACTATCAGACTTGCACATGCAGCCGCCAATGCCGGGGCGTAGGTTTTCAGCAACAATTTACTTTGCACCGTAATACATGGCTGAGTATACAACCCACAGAGATGCAGGGCTGGTTATTCTCCCCGCCTACTACGCTGCTAGCCTGAGCACCGACCAGGAACAAATTATTCAGTATTATGTTGATATATGCAAAGGATCACCGGTCAGTAACTCCACTCCCATCATGATGAATGGATATAGCTCAAATCCCCAGATTCCCCTGTTCCTGTACAACTTTCCGGCAAACTCGGCAGGTTTGGATATGTCATCGGCGATCATCGAGGCGGTTATACGTCAAGCGCCTAACTTGTGCGGCGTCAAACTCACGTAAATGAAAAACACGATATCTGTGTTCTCTCGTGACCTCTGGTAGACTGACCTTTTGGCGTAGTTGTGGTGGTAGCGTCGCAAAGCTGGTTCGCCTATCATCCTTCATCAATAGCGAGCCGTCAGTCAATTCATGCCGGCCGTATCCTTTTCTGCTTTTGGACGGGCTCATCTCCGATTTGACGCCATGGATGAAGTGCGGCGGCCATGGAACCGTCAGCGGCATCCCCAACTTTGCTCCTGCTGCCTCCATGCGGCTGTGGGCACTTCTCAATAAGCCTGATCTTACAGAAGATGAGCGGCGGGAAGCAGAGAGAATCCAGTCCATCCTATCCAATGCCGACGTGGCGGCCGTGCCTGCAGGTGTAAGGGGTATGAGTAAGTAGTGGTTTGCATTTATCAGAATGATGGGGATTGTGTAACTTTGGCTAACACTATGCTTACGCAGAGTATGTGTTGCACAAACTGCACGGATATGGAATGGATCCCAGACGCCCACTACTGAGATTGGGAGAAGCGGAGGGAGAACAATTAATGTCGCAATTCAAAGAAATGATCGAGCTGGAGGCAGAATACTCTGAAGCGGCGTAGTTATCAGATGTAGAGATTGAATGTTACAGAACAAAAGCTTAAGAACATAACGTAACAGTTTTAAAGTCTCTTGAGTCTGGGCCGAAGTGAGGGAATCTAATTTTCCCGAGGACATGTGAAACAATTTTGCAAAACAACTCAGTGACTTGAAGTCTCTTTTATTGACGACTAAGTCGCAATTATATTAGGCTTCACGTGTACCCTCGGTCCAGCATCTTCATGCTACTGTACATTAGGGACGTTCTTACGAGATTCTGTGGTAACTCGAGTTTGAATAGTGGGTGTACGATTCAAAGAGTGAGCTTGTGCTCACTTGCTGAATAATTGAAAATAAAGATGTAATGTTTTGATAGCTGCCTTCTCTTCTCGTCCCTGCCTTTTTCCATGACGCATTTGGGACCAGGGATCAACCAGTCGATCCACGTTACAAAACGTATCTGAAGTACGGTGAGTACTCGCCCATTTCGGCCAGTTGTTTCTCTGTGTATTTCCCCTCTAGTTCCTCTGGGGGTATGTGGTCTTTCTGGAGGTTAGCGCGGCGAAGTAGGTACCAGTTAGTAATGCAGGCACCATAGCCACCTATAGCGACGAGTACGATGATGGTGATGAAGCCGGAGCGGTATGTGGGGGCCTCGTGGCTGACAAAGATGTTGACACCAATACAACCGCCAGCAAGCTGGCCCCAAGTTGACATCCAGCCCATGGCCGCGGCACGCTTGGCTGGGTTGCGCACATTGGTGCCGAGCCAGGAGCCGACTGCCGGGCCCTGCATGTTGTAGCCAGCGATGACAAAGAACAGAGCAAAGTAGCTTAGCCCGGAAAGGTTCGAGTAGTGTAAAGAGGGCCACAAGATGACGATACCAATTGTTCCTACCGTGTAGCTAATAATCAACGACCGGGCGCGGCATTGATACCGATCGGAATAGAATGCAATGGCGACGACGCAGAAAAAGGCGAAAACGTAGGGCGGGGAGGTCATAGCTTGGGCCTGGATGGCGGAGTATCCGAGACTCTTCACCATCTATTACAAGAGAATGTTAGCGGAGAACTTCCATCAATGGGGGTTTCGGGGTGCATACCGTTGCCAGAGTGTAATTAACTGAGTATGTGGGCACAGAGCCACCAAAGGCCAGGAGAGAGGCAACGAGGTAGGTCTTCCAATCCTTGACGGCCTCAAAGAATACGCTCCAGTGGAATGTCAAGTCGGGAGGCACAGGACCATCGCGGTACTTAACACGCAACTTGAGGTACTTCATCTCATCCGCGCTAAACCATCGAGAGCTCCATTTCTCTGGGAAGTCTACACATAGTAGGAGGCCGAGGCTACCAACAACGACGGTGATGCAACCTACATAAAGATTTGGTCAGCATTGAAATCCCATTAAATTGACGGATGGTAATGATAATGTATACCCTCAATTATAAAAAGCCACTGCCACTGTCTCAGGCCGTGATGGTCCTGAAGTGGGCCAACAGCGTATGCCAGTAGGCCACCAAAAGCACCGGATAGCAGAGTCGCCGAGTACCACCACGCACAACGAGACTGCAACTCGTTGGGAAGATACCAGCAGCTAATCGTGTAGAAGCAACCTTGATACATTCCCGCCTCGAATAAGCCGAGCAACACGCGGCAGATCACGAAGTCGTGGTAGCTTTTGATCCAGGCACCGCCAAGAGTAACGCAACCCCAGCAGATGACGAGCGATGACAGCCAGATCCGGGGCCCAATGCGACGCAACATCATACTATCGTTCATTACACAGGTTAGCAACGCTGGAAGGACAACTACAGAACGAGAAATCATCAGTAGGGTACCAAGACGACTCACTTGGATGGAGCTTCGAACACGGCATACATGATGATGAACCATGTCAAGGCCAGGTTGAATTGGGTATTGGTCATGTTGGTGTCTTCCATGAAGTTGTAGATCTTGACATTCCCAGCATTGGACCGATCAATCGAGTTCAGCAGGTAGTACATGAACAGGAAGGGCAGGATGCGGGCATCGAGACGCAGGATCATGCTCCGATGCGCCTTGGGGTCGGCCGTAAAGCGGCCTTTGAGGCGAAGATACTCGACATACTCGGCAGCGTGCACAGCGTCGGTCACAAAGGGGCCTGAAACCTCAATGGTGGTGCCCACCTGCCTTTCGACATTCTTGCTGTCGTGCATTGGGCTTTTAGACGCGTCCTTGGGCGCCTCACCGGACGAGATAGATGCTGGTGGCATGTTGAAAGCTAGTTATTGTCCCTCGGTGAGGGCTTGGATTGCCGGTATTAGTCTGAGTTGTCGTGAACCGGCCCCGTGGTTCAAGTACTTCGGGCTGCCGTACAAACATTGTGTCGCTATCGCCGTTATCAATATCGGCTGTATCGGCACTGGCCCGATCACCAGCGATAAGAACCTTGATACCATTAGCGCGGTTCATGGCATCCTACTCGAGTAATAAGACATCCCCGGCATCCGGGTCGTGGGTAATGAAAGTGGTCAGGATATCATGGATCACAGTCGGTTGCGTGCCGATATTGACGACGAGCTCCTGGCCGATGAGGCGATCGCGGCCGACACCGACAGAGGCGCCAGCGGACTACCTTCGGCAAGGATTTATCGGACCTCGAAAGGTACGTGAAGCATGATGCTATCTTTTTCGTTTTCCCTCCTCCTACTTGTCCAACGTTTGCTGCATGATCCGCTGACTATCCTATCTGGCGCAGCATGTGCCCAATGCCGCGGTCGCAAGCAGAAGTGCTCGGGGCCTGGCGGTGGCAGCAGCGCCGGCGCCTCGGCATCGATGCCGGAGCACCAAGCCCGACAACCCTGCCGGCGATGCGCCCACTCGGGTGTTCGGTGCTCCTTCACCGCCGCCACTAATGAGCAGGGGTTCAACGACGTGGATGCCGCTAGCCGAACCGCCCGCAAAGTTGATCGGCTCCAAAAGCAGATCAATGAGCAGGCCGGCCGCATCAGCCAGCTGGAGGCCACCGTGAGCAACCTCAGTGCTGCCGCCGCTGTCGTCTCTCAAGTGAACAGAACCCCAGGTACGAGTCTCGATGGGCTGGACGTTGCAACCCCGTCCGGGCCATCGCTGCGGGGGACGAGGAGATGGCGCGATGAGGCTAGCGTGACAGCGATATCTCCCGTTTCCAAGCGAGCAAAGACCCGCAATGATGAAGCATATGCCGGCGGGCCTGCGATACTCCAAGATCCTAGTCTGGGGCGCCGAAGCGATGCTTACGACTCTGTGGACTTCAGCACTCCCATGTCGATGCTCCGTCACTTGCGCCACGACATCCACGACGTGAGGGTGGAGAACGATGCCTTGGATCCGATAATCTGTGGCGTCATGACGATGGAGCAAGCCCAAGAAACCTTCGATACCTTCTTCGATCACTGCCATAGATGGGCACCGGTGCTCTGCCCCCAAACCCAGACCTCCGCGGCTATTATCCGGCGCTCCTGCCCGGCGCTATTCATATCAGTGTGTTGTATCGGATACCGCTTCACCAGTACGGCTACATCCGAGACGCAACGTCGTTACCTGGCTCTCATCTCGCTCTTGGACCACTCCCTAAGCCGTCTTCTCTTGAAACCAAACTTAGCCGATGTGAATCTGGATCACATTCGCGCAATACTGCTGTACATACAATGGATGCCCGTCGACAATATTGGCAACTCTAGTAGATCTATCAGGTACAACGCCATCTCAGCATGGAGCATGCTGGGTCTGGCCATTCGGTATGCCCTTTTTCTCGGGTTACACCAGGATGCAGTGCTCCCTTTCAAGTCCGACAACAACGAACTCCCGACACTGGAAGATGTCGGTCGGCTACGTGTGTGGATAAATCTGCTTACCTGCGATGCCGCATTGACGCTTTCAAGCGGTCTCCCAGCGACGTTGAACCCGGATCCGGTGGTGGCCGTTGCTGCCCGCTTCATGTCAAACGACAACGCTATTCATCCCGACGACACGAGGAGTTCAGCTACATGCGAACTTGTGTCAATTCTTAAACGAGCCGCACGAAGAAGCGGAAGCCCCAATGCCCGCTCATTAGATGCCGACTGTTTGCGACAGGTCAATCTGGAGTTAGACACGTGGGAGACGGACTGGAATCCCATCATTGGTGACCAAATCCAGCACTACCAGATGCCGTTTACGACTCTGCGGTCCTACCGTCTTTCCATCAACAGCGCATGTCTATCGCCACTCCTTCGGCCGTCGGGAGGCCAGGGCCAGATATCCATCTACGTGCTCCAGGCGCTGGAGGTAAGTCTGCACACGGCGGCCTTGACAATTTTCGCACTAGCCCAGCAATCCAGACACCGGCCTTGGGGATATTTTAAAAGTATCGATTCATTGCCTAGGGTCAGATACAATCCCGACATTGAGGCCATCAACCGCATCAAATACTCGGTAGACTCGACGTGGATCTCCTACAGCTTCGCGACTATGTTTCTCGTCTTATGCTATAAGAACGGGATCGTCGATGAAAACTTGAAGATCTTGGCGTTATGCTATAACACCGCGGATGTGGTAGCCTTTCCTCGGCGGCCAGCGCCCTCCTCGCTTCTCTTCCGGTTGGTATCATTGGCAATGCAGATATTTGACGTCGCAAGCACAAACCTCCTGGCACATCTTGCCTTAGATCAGAAATCGCTCCTCTCTGGTGTCTTTGCCGTCGTTCTGGGAGATTCGGCCACGGATGACGAAACTCTATCCGAGATGCCAGCCATGGCGTCGTATTCGGATCGGGAGGTGGAAGCCCTCTTCGATTCAATGGTGAATGGCATGGATTTGGGCTGGTACGCTGGCTAATTTCGGCCAATGAATTGTGTAGCCTGCGGAGTAATTGCAGAGTTTTCAACAGCGAGCAATGCATCCTAAACCATGTGTTCTCAATGATTCACGGCGATTTTGGTTTCTTCCTTAGGCTTCGCCAGCTGCTGTGACCAGAGTAGAATGTTAGAATGAAAGTCGTCCAGACTAAGTGAGAAGCCGAGGCCTGGTCCATTTCAGAGCGTGTATTTACCAACAAAAACATCAAATTAGAGGCGAAAAAGCCACTTGAAGTCGCACGCATGTCAGCTCGTGTGTCTGGCGCCCGGAAACTGCATGCGGATTGTTCGGGTTTGTTTTTTTGGACCTTGCGAGAGACGCGTCAGCGCACTGAAAAGGGATTACGGACTATACACGTTCGTTTTATGACCTGAAATACATGGATGGCCCTATGTCACTGATCCTTCACTCATCGCACTCATCGCTTATTTGTCTTTCTCTCCATATATGGCTCTCCATCATCTGGCGGGGCTGCTCTACGGCCCTCATGGTTTTGTGCATCTTGAACCTGATTCAGACGCATTCCAGTTGCTAAAAGATTGTACTCACGACTCCGTTCCATTTCCATTTCCAATGAAACTGTGCTTCAATCTCGTTCTCGACTTCTGTTATGCATTTTCAAGATCTTCTAGCAATTGATACCGCGATTGATGTTGCTTGGAGTGTTTCCATCAAATCTCTACACGTAACCTCCTAGCTAACACCGAGACATCCACGTCAATTACCCTGCCGACCGTCGCCCGAGTCACCCCATATTCGTTACACCGCCACCGCCATGTGCACTGAGTAGCGGGCAAGTCAACCTATTATCTGTCAACCGCAGTTCATCCGTCAACTCTCAGGAATGCCTGTCAAAGTCACATTTCCCTTTTGAGTTAGACATTTACGAGACTATTTTTGGTGAGGGGTCTACTAGATTGTTTCTGGTTAGGTAGGTACGAGATCTCGGCAGTGAGCCAATCATGTGCTGTTACTTGAAGTAGCTTGGCCAGTCCTAGCTAGACAGCGCAGCGATGGCGGAAGGGCTTAACGCTTACCTGCCTGCCTGCTTACTCTCGGGCTCCTACTACGCCTCGTGGCTTCGTTGCTTCGCAATCTCGCATCTGAAAGGGCGGTTGCGAAGGAGCGAATCATGGAACGCGGGAGTCAAAATTGAGCCTCGCGGCACGTGCTGCAGAAGGATCTCGTAAGTGTCTAACCCTTTTCAGAACGAGGTCAGTGACAGTGAAGGAATGGAATTCTCGGATTCAATGGGGATGCCACAGGGCGTGAGAAGAATGTCAGTGTATTTATACAGCAAGGACGCTCTGCGATTATCTATCTGGACCTCTCACCACTCGTGCAATCCAATACATCTACGACCGTCCTTCCTTTTACTCCGCTTGTTTCCCCTGGAGATTCTTCAACCCACAGCCAAGATGTCAAACACTTGCCCTCTTCTAAGCAATGCCAACTGCACTGTGGGAACATGTCCCCTTAGCTGCGCTCAAGTTGAATACCTTCCAACACTTGCTGGCAATGCCCTTTATGCCGCCATCTTTGGTCTGCTGCTTGTTGCCCAGATCGCGCTTGGCATTCGATATAAGACTTGGGGGTTCATGGTCGGCATGGTCTGCGGCCTCATTCTTGAGGTTGTCGGTTACGCAGGCAGAATCATGCTTCACGATAACCCGTTCGATTTCAACAATTTTATTATGCAAGCTTTCCCTTCTCTTGACCCTACGAAAAGCCTTGCTGACAGCCTCTATAGTTATCTAGTCCCTCTGACAATCGCTCCCGCTTTCCTCGCTGGCGCCCTCTACCTCTGCCTCTCCCGCATCATCATCGTCCACGGCCAGCAGATTTCACGCTTCAGCCCGCGCACCTACGCAATAACATTTATGACTAGCGACTTCATTTCGCTCGTTCTACAAGGTGCTGGTGGTGGAATTGCAGCCACGGCTGACGATCACTCTGGGAGTGAGACAGGCAGGGCCATCATGGTCGCGGGAGTTGTGTTTCAGGTCGTCTCGCTGCTCACCTTCATGCTACTGTGGCTTGAATTCGTGATCCGGCTCCGCAAGACAGGCGAGGACGTTAAGGATGCACGCTTCATTGAATTGAGGCATACAAAAAAGTTTGTCTGGTTCCAATACGCGCTGGGCGTGGCTGTTGTCCTCGTTTTCATCCGCTCGGTATATCGTGTTGCGGAACTCCAGCAAGGCTTTGACGGACCCATTGCGAACGACGAAGTGTCATTTATGATCCTGGAGGGGCCGATGATCATCCTGGCAGTTCTTGCAATGACGATTTTGAGCCCGGGTATAGCCTTTGGTGGCAAGTGGAACAGTGCAACTTGGTCGGTCAAGAAGTCCAGAGATGCTGCTTTTACCGCGAGCGGCTCGTCTATGGAAGACATACAGAAGCATCCCGCTTGATATCGTTTAGCTATGAGCGAATGTGTGATGGTGGGGTCTAGGTTTTGATTTTCTTGTCATTTTCTTTGAGCGTTGTTCGATCGATAGACTAGATTGTATTCAGAGAGGAGTCTTAATAATGGAATTTCAGAAGTGATTGATTAATTACTCGTCTTTAGCTTGACCTCAACAGTGACTGACATGTATCCCCTGGTTTATAGCTTGATGTATTCTGTGATTGTCTGAAACTCCCCTAGCAGGCCCCATGGCTTGGTCTGGAACATTGCTTCAAGCGTGCCTGGATAGGTCGGGCTAGGCACAATGCTTTGATCAAACTTCCGGAAGTCAAATGGCAGCTCGCATACGTTGTAGATCCGTGACTCGTCATCAGGCAGAGGCAAGCCATGGAGTCTGGAAGTCTCGTCTGGCAATCCGTGTCGGTCTAGATGTTCTTCTTCCAGCTCGATCACTCGTTTGGCTGTGAGGTACGCGTGATGGGCGTTCCATAAACCTTCTCGTCTAGGTGCCAGCCGCAACAATTCCAAAGCTCGCCCTCGCACTGCGGCATGACGGCATTTCAACGCAGCGTAGAACAGAGGCCCTAACAGTTGCACGTCGAAAGATAGAAGTTGCGGTGTTGCCATTTCCTCCTTGGGCTTAATGACTTGTTCCGCATAATGTATCAGTTCTTCGAAGTCGGCTTGATAAGAATCCGTGGCCGTTTCTTGAGATGTGGTGCAGACTCGCGTCCAGATGTAAATGGCCTTGTAATTTACTAAGAGTATGTTGACAGCGTCCTGCTTGACGGGTTTACCGGTAGTCTGAATCCGCTGCAGCAGGTCCTCTAGTCGCTTGTGCCAGGCGTCTAGTTTTGTTTGAAGTTTCGCCTGTTCAATAAGGTCGTCGATGCCAATCTGGAATGCATCTGCTTTGGGACCGGTTGCGCGAATGAAACGGATGCAGGTGTCTGATATGTCGAAGAGTCGCCGTCTGGCATTATCAAGATCTTTATGAGGACAGTCTCCTTCATCCGAATGTGCGTATATCGCTGGGGTAACCCTCCCAGCGAGACAGCATAGTACGCTAAGACGCGAGAACATTGGAACAATGTAATCTTCGATGTCGTTGAGATCCTGAGCTGAGAACCTTGAGGTGGAATCTTGGGATCCTTCATCGTTGTGGCGGAGAGGCGCTAGAATGCTGAAACCACTATGAATGTGAATCATGGAAGATTCGGCATTGCCCCTGAGGAACTCAATGCACGTGAATAGAAGACAGCAAACCAAAGGGACCAAGATAGAGCTGGGATTGGTCTCAATCCGCGCTGACAAAAGCTTAATTGCAATACTCCATTCTTTCCGAGCCTCGGGGTTGGCATTAACAAAGCCTGCCGGATGCTGCAAAGATGACTCGACGTCACGATAGATGAGACTGATGGCGGATACCGCGTGTCGAATTGAAGGTTCGGAGTGCGATAGTTGCAAGACGAGCTTGCTCCAGAACTCGGAGTCGAACTGTCCATCTAAAATTGAGGCAAGATTCTGTGAGAAGAAATCGATGCCGCTGTTACTTGCGACGAATGCTGGTTGACTCTGGGTAGGGGGCAGATAAACCGTGATCACGCTACGGCGTGGCGGTGCCGCACGTGTTGTTTTATAGTCGCATTTCCGATTTCCAATAGCGCAACGTCGACAGATTGGTTTTCCTTCATCGCATTTGACTCGGCGGACTTTACAAGTGCTGCATCCAGTTCGGACCTTGGACGTGCTTTCGCGGATTTGCTTCTCAGGGATCATAGTACACGATTGTGCCCCGAGCACTTAATCTCCAAAGATTATGGCGAATGACATATAGCAAACAAAGCAGCACAAGGCCAAAAGTACACCTTCGAGATGAGATAACGTGGGTCGCTTAAATCGAAGGTTGCGGCAAGCTCAAAGCCAGGGAGAAATTCCAAAAGAGACTGTCAGCAGCTGATGGGGATGACGTGCCTCTATGTACTCCGCCGTTTTTCCTTAGTCTCTTCCAGTCCACTGCGCCCCATATCCACATTAAAGTCCGTCGGTCGTAGGATTCGTGGCTTGGTTCATGTATCTTGTCTTGCGGCACGCTGACCATAACTGAATGGGAGCATGCTTATCATTAGCGTGTCCGATATATGGTCTGTGCTCAGGCATTATTTCATCTGTAAGATAGATTAAGCTAATGACTTAATGTTGAATCGTTGTGAAGCGTTCTGAACGCCGTCGCCTCTAGCCCTTTGGCCTATTTTCTAGAGCTGCGTGCAAGCGACTAAAGTGTTCTTCAACCACAGTTGTTCCAACGTAAGGTATAAAATATAAAGTAGCTCATTCTGGATTCTCCAAAGAACATGCCGACTCGGTGGCTCTGGAAACGAGGTGCAGTTGAGTACTCTGTATCTCGCGTATGTTGGGCGACGTTATCGCGGCCTTACTATGACCATGCACTGCTTTTCACCATCAGTGACCTGAGAATAATGCATACTCTCGCGTGATTGTTTAGAGAGGGAAACCATAGACCACAGTGTGCATTCATGAGAAGCCCGCAGCGGCCACTATGTTTTGTAATCTTTGTTGTACCACATCTGCCATACAAGTGCCCAATGCATTACTGTTATCCCAACACAACTTGTCTTGGTCGGGCTGATACAGCTAAGCCGGTCCCTCCAGCTGTCTTCCTTTCTGCCTCTTTGCCGAGGTCGGTTTCGCCAAGCAAAAGTGCTTTAGCCACCACCTTCCATTTCTTGTTCTCATTCCCGCTGGTCGATGGCACCAGAATCCATGCCCTGGTCCATCCGCAATCCCCATCTACCAGGTCGGTTGGAACGGCAACTTGCAGCTGACTTTCAGAGTTGACTGCATTGAAATTCTGCGTCAACAGGAATTGACTGAGAATTGCAACGTCTCCCTCCATTGTAGATTTGATTCGGGCTATAGGAGCAGACATCCAGTAGATCGACCGCGGGTCGGTGATCCATGTTATCAGACCGAGAGCTGCTTCGATGGAGTACGCGTCCTCCTGGTCTCCCCGTCTCTCTTGTATAGCCCGTTGGAACTCTTCAGAGGGTATTCGGAGGTCGTCGTTGATCTCAAAGTCTGCAAAGATCCCGGTGTTGTATTTCCAACGAATCACTTCGCCTTGAAGTTGAGACCAGATACGTTTTGCAAGACCCGTCCCGCCCGCCAATATTGAAGCTAAAAACTGACGACGTGGCATTTCCATTTCTTCGTCGGTACGGAATGCTGGCATTCTCATCGCTTCTGTTTTCAGGGGGGGCAAAGTGCTCTTGATAGCGCCCGGGAAGATCCTATGGGTTGCGTTAATTTCCTCTTCGCTGCACCCTGTAAATGAGCCAGCAAAAAACATCATGTCGAGTTCCAAATGGTCCACAGAAATATTGTGGATGCCTTGGACTTTCCCAAGAGGAAACTTGTCCAGTGTCGTATCAGCTGCCGCGATGGATCTATTCATCCATGACAGCTTCCCTGCAATCTTGAGCGGCTCTGAATTAACGAACGACAAAACAGCCTTTTCTCCTGCCGCTAGTGACAGCAGCACAGCAAGGTGGTACACCTCGTCCTCGGTGGGCTCATGCTGCCGAAAATATGCCAGACCAATTCCAATCAGGTTGATGCATACGGAAAGTCTGTCGCCGGGCATTGTGCACGCTGTCTGACACACGGCGTTGAACCGGGCCATGAAGCTAGAAACCAGAGCCCCGGCTCGAGGGTGGCGGCTTTCCATAAGGGGAGAAGTCCGGTTTGAAAAGCCGGCAAGAATTGGATTAAGGTACTGGCTGTGTTCGTTTCGATGGCCTAATTGAAGAGTGACTGTTGCTAAGATGGAATGCAAAGTCGACCACTCCACCCTCAGAGTTCTTGTCTCGCCGAGGCCAATCACAAACACAGTATTGTGGACAGTTTGGTGCCTCTTGTCGCTCCATGGCTCACCAACAACGAATTCGTGAAAGCACCAAGATCGCTGCCACCATCGAGCCGCCGCAACTTTGTCATGCAACGATATAAGCAGAGCGGCTTCCGTGGTGTCCTGCGGCCGGTGATCAAGTTTATAGGCGAAGGCCTCATACTTTCGGCACAGTTCAGCTTCATCCTCTGTAAGTTCAACATCTTCAAGAAGAACCACTAGCTTTCTGCATGTCCTGTAGACAACATCCATACACGCGATGGCAAGCTGCTTCTCGCTGTTGTTTTCTTGGTCGATGCAGATCTGATCCATCCATATACCTTCTCGTATATGCCCACGCTCACATACGATGGCTTCTGCGAAACGTCTGCCAATGGGCCAAATACTGCCAGGAGCGGGCGCCGAATAGGGTGCGGCGGGCCATTCCGAGTTATGCCAGCTGTAGCTGATGGCGAGGTATTGTCTGAGGACAAAGCCAGCGTCGAACGGATGCATACGCTGAGGAGTGGGTTCCGTCGCGGTTCCAATTCGGTTCTCAACCGGCTGCTTTGAGCAAATTACTCGGAAGGGTGTTTGAATTATGGTGCTTGAAGTTCGCTTTGAGAATGACTTGGCAACGTCCGGTGCCCAAGCTTGGAGGTTGTGCAGGGTAATCTCGGCCTCTTCGTGAGTACAGGCCAGTCGATCTAAAGCATCTGCGAACAAATCTGCCTTGTTTTGCTCCGTTAATGAAATTTTGAAGAGGTCATTTGCCATCTGCTCAACCCCAGTCGCATCGCCATTCAAGGATGGAGATGGTTCGGCCATTTTCCCCCGCCTTCGCGTCTCGCAGGTTGTAATCAGCTGGGATCGCCTGATTCCAGGATCCGGTTTTGAGTCCGTCTGCAAAGATTAGCTAATCCACTCAGCTCTCGCCAACCATGAAATTCGGCATTTTAGCCGATCCAAAGCTTGGCATGAGGGGGCAGTGCCTGCATTATATCGGGTTAAAGTGCTCTGATCTGGACGACCGCAACGCATTTTAGTATTCCCCTGGTTCTCAGTCGGACGAATGTGTAGGGGAGCCATCCGCTGTCGGGCCTACATATGCAAGATAGATAGATAGTTCTTAACTTATCTCCGGCGACCCTGGTCAAGTCATAATCTTAGAAGTTCTTTGTATTTGCTTATCAGACCCGTTTTGGCCTCTCAAACCTGCCTCTTTCGTGTGTGGAAGGCCACGGCGGAAAAGTTTGACCTATATAACATCAGTTTCGCCATTCAAAAGTGACCTTTCCAAAACGTGTTTCTTCTCCAACCATACAGCCCAACTCCAGCTGAACGATCAACTCACCAGGTTCAGCTCCTAATTACTATTGCGAAACGTCAAAATGGTGCAGCGACTTTCCCGAGACGCCAGCTTGCAATCTTTCATTGGTGCCATTGAACGCGATGGGTGTGTCGTCGTCAAAGACTTTGCCAACTTGTCGGTGATTAAGGCAGCGAATGCAGAAGTTCAGTCGTATCTCGATGCCTCCCTCGCTGAATCGGGAAGCACAGTTGGCGCTTTGAATGGAGGAACTGCTACATGCACCAGGCTGATAGGTCGAAGCCAGACAGTGCGAGAAGAGTTCTTCTCCGATGCCCTTTTTCAGGTATATTAAGAACTATCATGTTATTCATCATCGTGACTTTCGTTACTTACGAGATCATGTTCGACAGAGCCTTGCCGATCACTTCATCGGCCTTGAAATTGAAATTTGGTATGGCGATGAGCCAAAGGTGCAGCGATCCGATCCTCTTCTTTCGATATCTATCACCATGTCTTCGCAACCTGGATGCAAAGCGCAAAAGCTTCATCGTGATGATAAAAATCACCATGCCAAACATGTCAAGGCGGATGAGTATTCCAAAGGTCGAGACATGCTCTTGGGTCTTTTTGTTCCCGGGTGCGACACAACTGAGGCGAATGGTGCAACCCGCATCGTTCCTGGCTCTCACCTTTGGGGCGATGAGAAGCCAGATTTTGGGCCAGACGGGACGAAGGGAGTTGAGAATGCCGAACTCAGAGTCGGAGAGGCATTCATCATGCTGGGTAGTCTTTATCATGGGGCTGGGGGATATTCTTTGTTAAATGGATGTCGCACCGTACACATCATGTTCATGTGCAGTGGCGTCCACCGTCAAGAGGTAAGCCAGCTCCTCAACTCACTACCTATAGATATTTATGAAGCGCTTGCCGAGCTAATAACTTGCATCAAGGAAATCCCATTTCTCAGCTATCCGATTGAAGAGGTCAAGACATACTCGAAACTTGTGCAGGATCGTTTGGGTTGGAAGCAGTCGGAACCCAATCTTGGCTGGATTGATTTGAAATCCCCGGAATTTCTGCTTAAACAGTGATCATCAAATCTTCCTTCGCTGTCTAGTTGAATCATTGCCTACAAAAGCATTCCTCTTCAGACTGCCAAGCAACTCATGTCACATACCTCATGCATTATGTGCATTACCGTAGGGCATTCAGCGCGGAGGCCAACACAGAATCGTTGAGGGTGCTCACACGACTTCAGACTACTCTTGTATTATCAACTTTCTATCTGCTACGATGCCTCGATCCTGGCTCCATGAGACGAATGTTTCAGAAGGATGCAAATGCTTCCTCGAGAGCAAGTCCTACTATTGATTGCATGCATTACTGCAGGTGCCGCTTTGCTGGAGCAACTTCGGCTAGAGCCTGGTTGGCGTATTTGCGCGAGCTTTGCTTTCAACGGGTTCAAACCCATGTTCTTGTCGGGGGCGGCCTTCGTTTGGAAGCATGATGGCCTTGTCTAGTGCATATGGCAGTCCCCGGTGTCGACCGCGGATCATCATGGCACAAACTACCAGCTTGCTGAAAGTAGTGAACTCGCCAGAGAGTGATGTCATGACCGAAGGGTGCCCAAGGGACAACCCAACGTTGCCACTACGGGTAAAGTGAGCGATACAAAACATTCAGAGAGGGGTGGGTTACTTGCTATGCGCTGACTACTTCGGAAAAGACCGGGAAAACTGAGAATGCCTACAGAATCAACTGTCAGCACTGGCTTCCGTGGATAGGGGTGAGCTTGGTACGCACTGGTTCATTGAGGTCCATGATTCTCTGGGATTCTGCGATGCAGATGCAAAATGTACCAAGAAAGATGTACCAGAGATCAAAGCTCAATTGGTTTCGAACATGGGTCATAACATACGAAGCCCCATTGTTTTCATCCAGATGGCTGTCGGCCTCATAGACGCCAAGGGCTCGTTCCTCATAGGTGTTTGATGCCCGAATGCTAATGGCTATTGGGAAGATCGCGATGTACATCATGCACAACAAGCTGAACTGCACGGCAGGGTTGACCAGGGATAGGTTCAGTGTTGAAGTGCCAGTGTGGCGTGACGACGCAGCTTGGAATAAAGCTGATAGGATTCGAGGTCCCATTGCCAAATCATTGACGGCAGGGTTGTCCAGGTCCAGAACGATGATCAACAAAACGTCAATGAAATTGAGCAAGAAGACAATGCCGAACAAGATCCAGGTGGGTCGGCTTGGAAAGAGTAAAGTGTAGCATCTGCGGGGATGGTCGAGCAGAAACTCAAGGTGTTCTTTGGTGGCCGACTTCTTGTTCACGACCCTTGACATGACCCAGATGACTAGTCGCAAGAGCACTGGATAAATCGTATTTCCCGCAAACGCAAGGAAGGTCATGGCGAGCATTGGCCAGGTGGCGTCTTTGAACGTCGACATCGAATCTGGGGTCAGGGTGAACCCGAGATTATCAACCATAGTCTGGGCAGAGTAAAAGGCCCATCAGACTTGACCTTGTCCGTTCTCCAAAAGCCATGATTTGTACTTTTGGGGAGCGTGTAGAATCCAAGGCAAGAGACTGATGACTCCAAACACGTGAAGCCCAACAAAGTAACCTACCGCTAAATCAGCCAAATCTGTTTAGATCATGTGGGGGGTTATGCAGGCGTATACTAAAAACAATCTTCAGAAGGAGCTTCAAGCTTCTATATTCGATACCGCCAAGTAGCTCACGATCTCTCTCTGTGAGGTGGAAGAACTGGGAATTGCGGCCGACGGTCACCTGGCGAGACAAGTAGGGGAGATCGGCTGTGCGTGGTGGCCGGGGTCGCGTGGACAAGTCAGAACGGCGCGATTCAAGGTCGAGAGACTTTGAGTGACCAAGCACCAGAACAGATGAGGCTACTTTCTCCATTGACCGAGCGGCGCGCATTGCAGGACCTTCCATGTTGTGAGGTCTTCGCCGAGACAAGCCACTTGCGACTGGTTCAACGGGTCGGATGGCATCAATGTCTGAAACGGCGGGTCAGTGGCTTTGAAGGACCTTGACAGGACCTATCTTACCATCAATGCTTTCTGTATCTTGGCGAATTTCAATCATGGACTGACCTGTGCGGATAAGATCTTAGCCCGGTTCCCGCGAAAGGTCTAACTGACTGATTACGTACCATCATCGCGGTCTCGAGGTCCTGGGACATGGAGGACTGCGTTATCGGCACTGGATTGGCCGCGGTTGGGGAGATTCTTCTGAAAGGTAATTGTGGTTGCTCTAGGACCAGACGCAAACTCCGTATCCAAGACTTCATTTTCCTTCGATTCCGAAGGGCCAGTTTGAACAGCATTGCGCTGGGCATGTGTCTCATCTAAGGCACTTTCGCGACCTCTCACTTCGGCCTGCTGGTCGGGAGGACCTGCTTCTAGATCTTCGGCAGACAGGCTTAGGGTTCGCTCTTTGGCTGTGAGTGCGGCGTCAGCATTTCCAAGCTGGGAATGCTGCTTTAAGAGAAGACGCATTCAGTTCTTACCAATATTCTTCAGTCGCTGCTGGAACCAGTAGAGACGCGCCACGACAACCACAATGTTGATGAACATCAGATTAGTGATCATGGGGATCACATAGATGTACACTTGCTGGTAAGTCTTCAAGTCTTTGACGTCGATTCTACCGTATCATGGTCAGTATGAGATGCGAAGGAAAAAGACATAGCAATCAAGTGACTTGATGACTTACGTGTTGAGACCCGATTCGGTCGAACCACTGGCACCAAAGAAAAAGGCATCTATCGCCGCTAAATTTCCCGCAGGATACAGCACAGGAAATGAAAGCAGGCTGCAAAATAGGATCCAGGTGTCTGGAGATAATAAACATAAGCCATTAGCTGAGTGGTCATGGACGTCATATTCAACGAGGGAAAATGTGGGCGGTGACGAGGCGCATAATATGCCAGTCAGCAGTATAACTTACAGTGGAGGGATATAAAATTCAGCTTCGGCTTCCACATGTTTCGGTGAGGCGGTAGTAGAATGCACGGGGGGCTTGATATGACTTCAAGTTGCACTGATAGGAGCGTGGTCAATGAGAGGTTGTGTGGTGTTGAGGTTGCAGGAAATCGAAGCGCAGTGGGGGGCCTGTTGTTTATCTCAGGGCACTTGCACCCACTACCGCCTTCTCGGCCTGAGACGTGGCACGGCGGCCTCTCTGCCTGCGGTTTTTTCAATTTCCCCTGTTCAGCCAAGAAAGGGACGCGGCACAAAGGATACGTACATCCAGGTAAAACCGACGAGCCAAAACTTCCGCGGTCCATATAAACGGCGATCCAACGTCCAATTGTTGGCCTGCTTCAGAATCACATCCAATCAGTGTTCAAGATGGACTGCCGCGCCAAGGGCTTGGCAGATATCCTTATATCAGAGTTCAGTGGTATCTTCTCCGTCACTTCACATGGTCGGAATGATCTCCGATTGGGCTGCACTATCCCTAAGATTGCAGGCGTGGCTATTCGTTGAGATGCATCTTATTTGTGACATGATCAACGCCATTTTGTCAATAGCGTGGCTGATTTGATGCAAAATCTGCCTAGATAATACCATCTTCTTACCAGTCGCCAAAATCTCATCATCGGTGTTATTCACAAGGCTCTTGAGCTGCTAAGGCTCGGTTGTTGCCAATGCACCAATCGCATTGGGCCAACCGTCGTTGGTGCCTAGAGATGACGTAGACTGTAGCAAACATCTTGCGACAGGCATCCTTTTCCCCTCGTTTTCCTCGAAACTCTGAGGCAGAGCTCGTCAGCTACACTAGGCAGTGATCTATAGCTCCAGCCTGAAATCTATCTCAAGAAAGCTCATAAATATCTGGTTGCATAAGGCCAAGCGCCAGAACGCCACGCTCATTGCAGTGGTTTGCGGCATCTTATCCTGCGTTTCAATCTCAGCGATGGCTTCAACGATCCCCCAAGATGAGGTGTCAGAAATTGATACCACGATTCCAGGCGGTCTGGAAACGACACGGGAGGAATCCCCACCGCGGCGGTCTCCTTTTCGCACAATGCAACAAGTCCACGACTTTCTTTCCAGCAGCACCACTCTTAAGAGCATCAAACTTCGGGTCACTCTACTTGGTTGTTCTAGCCATCCTGACAGGTACAACTTTCCATTTGACTTCCCTGCCGGCTCTCGTTATTCGTTCAAACTCGAGTCTCTCCAACTTGACGGCTACGACTTTGGTTACCAGGAGTGGAAGAGGGTTCAGCCACCTAGCAAGCTATTTCCCTCTTACCCCCACAGCTGGTCTCCGGATGGCATTGGCAACTACTTCTGGTGGTACATGTCCGACTTGGCGACTAGGTATTATAAATGGCGCAACCTTCCCGACGACCTGAAGCATAAGACAAACCTCGATCTGTGGATTGACGCAATGGACTTCTCCCATATCCGAGAGCTTGCACTGAGAGACATCAGAGGGCAGTCTATAGTTGCCCTTCGGCTCCCCCCACTCCTCAAGTCCTTGACGTCCTTGACGATTCGGGGAGTTCATCATGTCCGAGAATTCGTTCTTGGGCTACCACGCGATTCGTTGGAGCATCTTTCTTGGATTTCTGGCTGCGGATGTGGGCAGAGCCGGTCTCTGCTTAAAGTTGTGGGGTACCATGCTCATTCGCTTGCTCGTCTCGAATTTAGAGAGCCCGAAAGCTCCCATCATCGACGGGAGGTTCTTACTGCAGAGGAGCTTGCCTCTCTGGGTGATTTGGTGCCAAATCTACAAGAATTGGCCATCGACCTCAACCGAAATGGCACTTGGCCATTTGAAGAGCTGGAATCAGTGGCCGCGCACTACCATCGGTTAAAGCGACTCACAATATACTTGGAGCTTGCCAGTGAGCAACGAAGACAACATGAAAGCTCGGCGTGGTCTAGAAGTAAATCGTTGAGCGATGAAGGTGAAGACCTAGACAACATGGCCCGCCCATTGCTAACCAAAACGACTGGGGTGGAACTTTTCGAACTTTTGCGCAAACAAAAAGTGGGCGAGGAGCTGATTGAGCTGAAGCTGTTTGCTGGAGACTGGGAGAGAGCGCATGATGGGCCGCTATACACTGCTCCGTGGCTTGAGCATCGAAAAGCATGGGTTACGTGCCAAATCATGGAGAATCCCAACAGCACAGGAAAGCAGATACTTTGCGACGGAAGGGATACAGTTGTGGTCAACGGAAACGGCAGTGTGTGGGATGAAGTGGACCTCGTTCCGAGGGGTGTCATCATTCCGGTGCTCGATGAAGACGAAGAGGAACAAATAAGGTTGTTAGAGATGGGTGCTGCCGGTGAAGATTGGGAAATATAGGTTGCAAGTGCGATTTAGGATGTTCATCCCCTCCCGTCGCTGTTATCATTCAATTTCGATTTCATCTATGTCTTTCCCATCTCACAGACCCAAAACGCCATACAAAATTCTCCTATCAATTGATAAGACGACGGTCGTCTCTCTCCTGATATGCGAATCATTTATCGGGATGAACAAGCATTGCGCAGAATGTCTTGATCAGTCCGTGTCTAGGAAACATCGGACATTTCAACCACGGTTCCAAGGAACCCCGCTGAAGATGACATGCCGATGAACCGGTCCGCAATCCCCGCCCTGCCAAGCCCGTCCAATTACCAATGCGACCGGCGACACGTGCCGATGATCAGCGTACAACCGCACCAGCTTCTTTGCGCATCCTATTCGTCCCATGCAGCAATCTCCGTGCCTAGTCGATATGCTGTCCAACCCCCCGGCGCAGACCCCGATTTGAGAGGTCCATCGCGGTGGCTACAACCATAATCCTTGTGCAAAGTCGTCATCGAACGCGAGATTATTGAGTTGCCGTCTTCTTTTGAGTGCAATTGCCCAATCATCTGCCACATGATTACCCACGAGCTTGAGCTTGCTCATCTTGGAAGCGTGTAGACGGCGAGCTTCCATATCCCGATTGACTGGAAGCTCCGGAAACTAGTCTCAGCTCGAGATGCAGAACTCCACGCTACTGGATTCTTCATAAAGGCGACGGTTTTCGATTAGAACACCCAAGTGGTGGTCATTTCTGGCAGCAGCAGCTTTCGCTCATTTTTGTTCGGTTGTAGATTGTTCACCTTGCCATCATGCTTCAATCTGCGGCCAGTGCTCTTGCCCTTGCCATCACGGCATCGGCGGCCTTCACTGGGAACTTGAACTATCTTTCGCCGTCCAAACACCATGCATCTCTTGGTATCTCCATCAGGAAGGTGGCAAAGCGCACGTATGCGAATTCTCCATGGGATCCGGCGAAGCTCAACTTCACCCATGGTGTTGCATCAGGCGACCCCTACGATGACAGTGTTATTCTCTGGACACGCGTCGCTCCTAACATGGACAACGACAAAAGTAACGTAACCGTATCCGGTTACGTTCCTCTCTATGACCACAGCACCGACAACTATGTGCAGAAGAGCGACTCCCCAGTTTGTATCAACTGGAAGATTGCAACGGACGACAAGCTTGACACGGTCGTGGACTCCGGCACAGCATACACCAGTTCCGATGTTGACTTCACCGTCAAGGTTGAGGCCAAGAAACTGGCACCATACACTGTCTATTGTAAGTCTATGCCTCATCTGTTCCTGAATGTCGTCTTTTAACACTTCCTAGACTACCAGTTCTCCGTTTGCAACTCCAACAATATTTCGCCCGTCGGCCGTACCAAGACGATTCCCTCCAAGGATGCAAAGGTTGATTCTCCTGTGAGAATTGCTGTGTACTCTTGCAGCAACTTCCGTGAGTTTACTCATTCGGCCGCAAGTAATTTCTAAAAACTGATAGTTATGCAGCTTTTGGTTTCTTCAACGCTTATGGAAACCCGGTGAGAAAGGACTCAGTTGACTACGTCGTCCATCTAGGTGACTACATTTACGAGTACGGGAATGGCGAGTACGGGTGGGGTAACTCTCTGGACCGCATTCCGCTGCCTGACCGCCAAATCTATACGTCAGTACTCGCTTACACTGTTTCTACATCTGAAACATCACCTGCTGACTTATTAAAAGCCTGTACGATTATCGAAAGCGCTTGGCAACTTACAGAACGGATCTGGATCTACTTGCTAGTCATCAACAATTTCCGTGGATTCCAGTCTGGGATGACCATGGTCAGTGTGGCCATATTCATGTCATTGAACCAGGCTAATGAGACGCAGAGGTTTCCGACAATACGTGGAGGGACGGAGCTTCAGAGCTGAATAACACTGAAGAGTCATTCATCATGGATGGGGGCGTCTCTGTTGACCAGCGCAAGATGAACGCTGTTCGTGCGTATTTTGAGTGGAGTCCGTCACAGTCTGCTCGACCGAGTATGAGCATCAACTGATTATTCGCAGTGCCAATCCGCCAAGTTGACATGGATGACAACCTCCGTATCTGGAGAGACTTCAGCTTTGGCAACCTTTTCGATTTGATCATGCTCGACACACGGCAATATGACCGAGCTGTAAGCACATTCCAGTCACCCGTGACGCTCATCCCGCTGCTTCGAATCACCTTCTAACATATATTCCAAGATCACCGATGTCTATTGGAACACTGACTACGTCAACTCCATTAAGAATGAAGCAAGTCGGTCCCTGATGGGACCTCGCCAGGAAACTTGGTTCTATCGCACTCTTCGCGACAGCTCCACTCGTGGCGCACAATGGCGCGTCATTGGCAACCAGATCATCTTCAGCAGAATGAACGAGAGCTTGTCTTTTGGAGCCGAGAACCCATTCAATACCGATCAATGGGATGGGTACCAGGCCAACCGCAACCGCACCTTCGAAGTTCTCTACGAGCAGAATGTGAGCAACAACATCTTTCTCGCCGGTGACTCGCACGCCTCGTGGGTTTCGGACCTTGTCTGGCTCGGCGAGCACGAGTATGACCAGAACACTGGTTCCGGATCCGTGGGTGTTGAGTTTGCGGGATCTGCAGTCAGCTCGCCGTGCCCTGCAGGCCAAAATATCTCCTTGGCAAACGCGAATGTCGGCTCTGCGTGGCTCACAAATGCAAACCGCGAGTTGCAGTGGCAGGATCTCTTCTACAGAGGATACTACGAGCTTAGCATCGACTACAATGCCGTCAACGCCTCGTTCTTCGGAATTCCGACCACAAGGATCAAGCAAGGTTACGAGATCTCGCTCGCTAACTTCACAGTCATTGCTGGTGAGAATAAGCTGCACCGACAGAATGGTACTACTGCTATTGGTGGCATCGCCGAAAGCGGCAGCTTGAAGAACGGCCGGGTTGTGCAAACAAACATCACGCACGACACCGGATCTGGCGATTACCTCAAATACGACTCACCCTAGATAGACGGGAGGTCGCGAACAAATAATATAATGTGTTACTCTCTATCTGACTGGTGCATCCTTTTCTTACTCCATACCTGTGGAATTACACGATTGGTTTTGACGGCATTCCGATGGCCGAACGAATGCCGACGCCCAAAGAAAAGACTCTTATCAGAAAGAAAGGAGGTAACATCGACACATCAGAGTGTGTTCTGATAGCCGATATCTTCGGGTTATTCTTTTCCGCAGTTGTAGATAACAAATGCCGACCCCGGCCCCGGTCACCTTCCTGCAGCAGTATGGCCAACAGTGCTTAGCCTTCCCATTGGTCCGGACCAAATGTCCTTGGCGATCCCTGAACTTATCTATGGGGGTCTTCTGCAGATGCACATGGCCAGCGCCAATCTCAAGAATCAAGAACGTCATGGAGCAACTGTTATCAAGGCGGGGTTGGGGTTGCTTTATAATATTTCGTCTATGTCGAGACGGACATTTAAGCTTGAATCAATATCATGCCTTGGCCAGTTTGCTGTATTGCAAGAATTACATAGCTTTTCCCGTAAATATTCAGGATGGATACGAAGGAAAAGCTCGACATCGAAAAGTCAGCAAGCTCACGCGAAGCTCAGCCGGAGACAATTGTGGGCGAGGTCAAAGATGTGTCAAACGCTGATGCAGCTCTCGAATTCCTGCGACAATGCGGCGACGTCAACCCCATGACTAATGAAGATGAGCGGAGACTCAAACGTAAGATTGACTGGCGAATCGTGCCGCTCATGTTTGCATGCTACATTCTCCAGTATCTCGACAAAACTTTGATCAATTATGCCAACGTCATGGGGCTCCAAAAGGATACTGGCATTTCTGGCGATCAATATTCGCAACTCGCCATGATCTTCTATGTTAGCTACCTTGCTTTCGAATTCCCTCACGCTTGGGGAATGCAGCATTACCCAACGGCAAAGTACATTGGCATCATGGTCTGCCTATGGGGAACGGTGCTGGCAGTTACATCGGCTTGCCACAACTGGGCCGGACTTGTCGTTACAAGAGTTCTTCTCGGCGTTTTCGAGAGCGCAGTTGCACCTTCATTGATCGTCATCACAACCATGGTAAGCCCATCTTTGCACATATTACGATGGCTTGCTCATCATTCCAGTGGTACAAACGCCAGGAACAACCTCCTCGCATGGGAATCTGGTACCTTGGCACCGGCGGCGGCGTCATTGTCGGTTCTCTCATATCGTTCGGCTTTCAACACTACGATGGATCTAGCTTCACCTCTTGGCAGATCATGTTTCTGATATGTGGTCTTGTCACTGTTGCCGTAGGTATCACTGTCATTGTTGTGCTCCCAGACAATCCGATGAACGCCAAATTTCTATCTGCTGAGGAAAAGGTCTGGGCTATTGAGCGCCTAAGAGCCAACCAGACGGGTGTCGAAAACAAGCAGTTCAAGTGGCCGCAATTCATTGAATGTTTTGCTGATCCTCAGACATACCTGCTTGCAATGATCACGATCACGTCAAACGTGCCCAACGGGGCTGTGTCTTCATTTCAAGCAACTATCATCAAAGGCTTCGGATACACGTCCAAGGAAACCGCACTTCTATCCATTCCGTCTGGTGCCGTGAGCATCGTCTCGATCTTGGCTGCAACCAACGTTGCGGGGCGATACAACCAACGTGCTCTGAACATCATTTGCCTGTTGATCCCTGGTGTCATTGGAGCAGCTCTCATGGCGTTCTTGCCTGCCGACAATAAAGCCGGGAAACTGATTGGCAACTACATGACGAATTGCATTGGCGCGACCTTGCCATTGTTGTACTCGCTCGTCGGCGCGAACTATGCCGGTCATACGAAAAAGGTCAGCCCTCTCACATTGTCAAGTGGCTTGCAGAAACGCTGATCTTGTGATATAGGTCACGATGAATGCCACTCTTCTAATTTGCTTCTGCGTGGGCAACATTATCGGGCCATTGACCTTTACCGCCGAGTCTGCACCGGAATACATCCCCGCCAAGACCGCTATCATTGTGACTTGCGGGCTGGCAATGGTCTTCACTCTGATGCTGCGCTTTTACTATGTTTGGGAAAACAAGCGTCGCGACAATCTCGTGCGGATCGGACAACTTGCCCATCTCAAGGACGTGGAATTCAGCGATATGACGGATCGCTTGAACAAGGAGTTTCGGTATACCCTGTGAGCTCAGTGTTATGGGCAAATAAACATACCAACGCTCTCCAGACAGCACAAAATCCAGAGCATATGAAGCAGCTATAAGTCAAAATGTGATTGAAAGCGTTCGATCCAGTGCTTTTTCCCCATTGAATTCGATGAGCGTGTGTTATGAGTGTCGCCGGAATGACCTTTGCTAAACGATAAATCTTCGATACCACCGGCATCATCGCCAACCTCAAAATTGGCACCGAAATCGACAAATCAATGCATCGACAGCAGTTGTAAGCCGACACGTTTGAGGCTCAATAAGAAAATACTTTTCATTCGAAGCATGAACCAGTCGGCATGTCTTGCATGTCTGGGCTATCTCGCGAAGGGGCGCGCTTTGAAGGAGCTCAAGTTTCCTCGCGGATTCCGTGACCCCCTGCATCTTATAGGGTGAAACACTTTTTTTGCAATTCGCTCAGTCCTTACCCCGGAGTCCCGAGATCCGGTCTTGACGGATTTGAAGCAGTGTGGGATTGGGGTGGACCGATCCAGCCCTATGACGCCTATTTTTAGGGTGATCACAATATTGCCTCCCGTGCCGATAACCGTGATGGCTTGAACCTTGCCGGTCCTGGAACTCCGATCGTCGTTTGAGTTGCGTGGCACTAGGAGGCCCATTATTTCGGGCCGAGCGCCTGGGCCTGACCAAGTATTTGATGTCAGCTCCCCCGTGGTCACGTCCGGAGGTTCACGGGGCTTTTAATTGTTCTTCCTGTTGCCTGACATCCGAGATGTGAGCCGTCACGATACCCACTCTAGCCCCTTTCCCACCTCCACAAGCCGGTGTGTTTACTCTGTCCTTCGTTTCTTCAATTGCAAGTTCCTGTTTCTCTCTCTTACATATCTGCTGCGGGTCTTGTGAGGAGCACTTCCGTTCATTCTGTTCTACGCACCCGCTCGACGATTTGACTCAATGGACACGATGGAATCAGCAACCCCCGACATCGCCTCGCTTGGCGACTCAAGTGTTACGACCAGACTGGAAGACCAAGAGCCAATTAGAGCAGATGCATCCAGAGGAACCGAGAAGCAATCCGAGGCCGCAACGGATACCACACTGCCTGTACCGAGTTCCCCTATCTATGCACCGGCACAAGCAGATTTGACGAAACACCGCCGGCGATGGATTCCTCGAATATCTTCACGGCTGCGCAACACTCTACTCAGCACTATGGGTCTTCTCGAACTCGCCAATGCCGGTGACTTCGCAGCAAACGTCTGGAACGAGATTCCTGTGCCTATATATGCCATCGTCTTCATGGCCCTGGGCGGCACGCTGGCGTTGGTAGTGTCAATTCTGGCTCTCAAAGACACTCTTTTGAGTTGGCAGAACGTATGCTTCCTCCGTATCGAGAGGGCTGCTTTGAACGCAGAAAGGCTGGAGCGTCTCCAACGAAATCAGCCGACGCTGGACGTCGACGTTCTTCTTGACACGAATTTTCGAGAACTTGGAAGCGAAATCGCGAATCGCTTCGGGCTAGACATATGCAGTGGGTTCGGCGCATTTCTCATCAGTATCGGCACATACATGGCGATTGGAGGGGCGAATCGCCAAGCGTGGTTTGCAAGCAACATCTTGTCAGGCTACCTCGGCAATGCCCCAATCGCTCTCTATGGCCTGATTAGCTCTGGGTGGTCGGCCCACATCTTCCGCAGAGCTTCTCAGCACCAAAGACTCGCGGCCCAGTCGCCTCGCCTCCAGAGTAGCCGAGCCTTAAAGGTTATTGAACGACGGACGCGCAATGTTCACATCTACACTTTGGTCAGTGGTGTGAGTAGCGTAATTGGTGGTGGTGCATCCATGGTCACGGCGACAAGATGGGAAGGCTACGTCGTACTCATCCCAGTTATTCTATCATCGATGTTTTACAACTCGTGGCTTCGTCGCAATGTGGCCTATGATAGACCATCCGCCGGCGACTCATTGCACCTGACCGAAGAGGCGATCACTCACGAACTCGAGGTTGCAGAGATGACCTGGCGAAAGATTCGAGGCCAATCCCGGCCATTTCAGGAGCTGGTGGCCGACACAACGTCTCTAGAGGCCGTCACGGCGTATCTCGTCGCCAATGATCTTCTGGAACATTTCTGCCTGTCTCTCATGAAAAGTGCTGTGGTCGCTCCTGTTTTTGTCGGCCAAGAATTAACAGATGTCACGATAGACACAGAGCGTCTGTTGGAAACGCCAAAAGAGATCCATCCAACCATGATCGAAATCGCAAACGAAACGATCAAGCAGGAGGGCCCGAAGCACTTCGATTACCGCCAACGATACTTGTCTGAGATTCTGGGGAGCATGCTACGATTATCACTGAAGGCTGGCTGTGGAGGTTCTATGACAGAATGCTGAACTGTTTTGACAGTTCTAGCGAAAACGCCACAAGAAATGTTATAAGACGTAGACCAACATAATATTACATAATTCTTAATGATTGAAATAAGTAACGACAGATGGAATTCCCTAATGTACACCTTTTTTGTAAGCCATTCCCGAATCATAACTCTCGATTGACGTTAGAATCGCAACCTCATCGGCCACACCGCGATGCAGTCTGAAAGAAGAAGAACCCCTCGCATACTTGTGCCGGAAACATGCAATCATGAGCAAACATGCACCTTGCCTAAACACTTTGTCTTCCTCTCTTTATCCCCTTTCCTGGCCCTTCTCCTCTGGTGGAGCGATCACCACAGTTGCAGGTATGTCGGTGCTTTCGGTATCCTTCGCCTTAGGCTTGCGCCTGAAGAGCCTTCCAATCGCTGAGAAGCCCTTTCCCAGAATTCTGTAGACGATGACGAAGGGCCTCCCGACGAACTTGGCCGCCTTCTCGAACCAAATATCGGGGAAAATGCGTACGACAACTCCCCAAGGCATGGACATGAAGGCGACAACGAGGCAAATAGCCCACTGGCTTCCATTGAGACCTCCCTCTTTGATCTCGAACACACGGCCACCAACGAAGACGATGCCAACTTGCAGACCAACCATCAAAAGATTGATGAAGATGAAGAACTGGTTGCGATGAACACCTTCTAGGACGTTGAACTTGTTATCCAGGCGACGGTTATTGAATTCGTTGAAAATCTGCATCCAAACGAAAGTGTTGAAAATGATCGTATCGAGTTGCAGCATCTCGTCTTCACTGTTACGGTCGTAGTTGAGAATCTCTGGACCAGCAAAGTACAGCGTGATAGTGATGACGAGCTGGAAAATCGCTTGACCAATAATCATCTTCCACATCTGTAGCCAAGGTTGTCAGTGCAAACTCATGTGCCAGTTCAGGGACAACTCACGTTAATGGTGATCAGAGGAGCACTCTTGGGTTGAGGAGGCCGATCAAGAATCTTCTCGGTCGGAGGATCGGTTGCAAGCGCGAGGGCAGCAAAGGTATCCATGATCAGATTGACCCAAAGCAGCTGGACGGCTTTAAGTACAGGCTCCATATGGTCGTCGTACATGGCTGTGATGAAAGCAAGCATGACCGCCGTGATGTTGACAGTGATTTGAAACTGTGCAAAAGTGAGGAATTAGTCAATCTGGTCGAGTCAAATGTCCTCGGATAACAAGTGAGGCAAGATTGCTTACCTGGAGAAACTTCTGCACAGCATCGTTAACTGCACGGCCCCATTTGAGAGCCGTAACAATGGAAGTGAAGTTGTCATCCATCAGAACAATAGCCGATGCCTCCTTGGCGACTTCGGTTCCGGAAATACCCATTGAAAACCCGACATCAGCAGCTTTCAAAGCAGGGGCGTCATTCGTGCCATCTCCCGTCACCGCTACCGTCTCTCCAAGAGCCTTCAATCTGGTGACGAGAATGCGTTTGTCCTCCGGGGATGAACGAGCCAAGACCTGAAGCTTTGGGAGAATAGCGTTCATGTCACCCTCGGACAGCTTGCGGAAAATAGGTCCCTCCATGATCACGCCGTCGCCGCCCGTGTAGATGCCGCACTCTGTTGCGATAGCCTGTGCCGTAATGACGTTGTCGCCCGTGACCATACGAACAGTAACACCGGCATGTTGGGCCTTACGAACTGCGTCAGGTACGCCCGGTCGCATGGGGTCCTGAATACCAACAATTCCGAGAAAAGTGAGATCGGAAAGAGACAGCAGAGAATCCATCTTGACATGGTCGTCCTCCGAAGGCATTCCGGCAGGTGGCCATTGGGGGTAATCCTTGTAGACAAGGCCAATCGTCCTCAATGATCGGCTGGCATATTGGTTGATGGTGTTCTGCAGGGCTTGTCGCTGAGTCGAGTCCAGGGGCTCCTCGTTCAAGGTTTCCAAGTTAGCCTGAGACGAGCAGTATCCGAGCAGGATCTCCGAAGCTCCCTTGACCAGAAGACGGTAGCCTTTGTTGGAGTCACGAAGCTTGATCACAGCAGCCATGCATTTTCTCCGCGAGTCGAAAGGCAACATCTGCACAACATGTTCGTTGGCGCGAGCCTCTGCCAGCGATTGCAGGCCCAGATGGTCCTTGGCCAGAGACAACAGAGCTGTTTCAGTTTTGGATCCGATGAAAGTAGCCTGGCCATCTTCTTGGCCTTCAAAGGCAGTCGAGTTGACGGCAACTGACTGGACAATCAGCTCTTTGGTTGCCGTGGGTACAGATGAGGCCCATGTAGAAACAGGGACGGTGCCATCGGCGGACTTTTCGCTGTCGGATTGCGCCAGAGCTGTGAAGCTTGTCGTTGAGAACGTTCCGGCCACCACTGTCATCTTGTTCGTTGTCTGTGGCCAAATCAGTAAGCGTGCGCCTTGCAGATTTTGATCTTGTTGCAGATCTCACCAGCGTTCCCGTCTTGTCTGAGCAAATGGTTGTTGCGTTGCCCATAGTCTCACAGGCGCGTAGCACTCGGACGAGGTTGTTCTCCTTCAGTAGCTTAGTGGTCGCAAAAGCCAGGGCGAGTGTGACGGCCAGCGGCAATCCTTCGGGCACTGCGACTGCGATGATCGCAATTGCGACGACAAGCAGATCCATGAAAGTAGACGCCTTGTCTGCTGGCGATCGGTGATCCTCTGGTAAAGTCGCAAGGAATCGGAAAAGAAGAATGAAGAACATCAGGGCGGATGCGCCTCCACCCAACTTAGCAATGGCAACCGCAAGACCTTCCAGCTTCTTTTGCAGGGGAGTGGCTTCGACATCGTAGCGAACAGACATCATGATCTTGCCGAAGCTGCTGTGCACTCCGACAGAAGTGCAAACGTACGTGCCCATACCTAGAGCCAATCAGCACATTTCCACATCTAATGGTCCGAAGGAACCTACCCTCAAGCACCTTGGAGCCAGAAATGATGAAAGGGTCGAGGTCGTCGAGGTTGTTGTGCTGCGTGTCGAGAAGCTTCATGACCTGGTCTCCGGCGGTCTTCTTGAGGACGTCGGATTCGCCAGTAGCCGAAGATTCATCACACTTCAAGTCCTGGCCTTCGATCAGGATACCATCAGCAGGCACCATGTCTCCCGGCTCAAGATGAAGAACCTCTCCGACGAGAATCTCATTCACATTGATCATGAGAGATCGGCCTGACCGAATGACCTTGACCTGACGATCGTCCTTCTTGGTGTTCAATCGCACAAATGCCTGTTCTTTCTGCCAATTGTTGTGGGAACCGACGACGACGACGATGATTACTGCGGCGCAAATGGCCACGCCTTCTACCCTAGGTGAATGTCAGCCTGCAGTGATGTGACCCAGTAGAATTGACATACCAGTCAACCGATGCCGGAGACCCCGCGGGCCTTTCGACACCCAAAGTCTCGTATAAACCCAGTGCCAGAGAGATGATACCGGCGACGGTCAAGAGAATGATGACCTTTTCGCTAAGCTCAATGTACATAAGCCTCCAGATAGACTTGCCCTTCTTTGGTGGGAGGACATTGCGACCGTAAACGCGCGTGCGATCGGCGAATGGTGTTGAAGATGCGGTCGCGTGCCTCTCTGTTGGCGTCGCGGGTTTGGAATCAAAGTCGACGGCCTCGCTGAACGAGACTGTGGACTTGACGCCGGTCTCGTCAACACTGAGTCCGCTGCGTACATCGGTCTGGATGCCCCGCGCGATTCCCTGGAGACCGCCAAGAGCTCGGAATGCCGACAGGGACTTGGGATTGAAGAGCTTGTTCAGCTGACCAGGAGAAAACGCGAAGGGATTGTTGTCAACGCGAAAGTCGTGCTCGGTTCCGGGGTCTGGATGAAGAGCCGAGTCTGGATCCTCAAGAACGAAGCTTGGGGCGGCACTGGGAGCAGCAGTTGTGCCGGACGGGGTCAAGAAAGGATTGGTCCCGTCGGGGGTGATGGTGTCGGCATCGCTGACGGCCCGCGGACGGGAGTCCGGATGTGTGGGGTTTGGATTGGGGCTGAGAAAGTTGTCAGCCATCATGAGCTACTGGAGTCATGTATGGGCTGGTGGAAATGAGAAAGTGTTGTCGAGCTGGAGCAAGGCGTGCCGAAGAAGCGGCGGCCAAGCAATATGAATATTTCTGCGCGTCTGCAGAGAGGGCAGCTTTCTCCGGGCTCCCTCCTGCAGCTTCTCCCAGACTGGCCATACAACACCATCTTGTCAACCGGAAGAGACATAGCTCTCCACTTCTCCAGTAGAGCGGCAAACGCAAAAGGTCAAAGGTCCCGGCTGGCTCAGCACTGCCACAATTCAACGGACATTATATTAACGAAATGATAGCCTCTGATGCGATCTGATAAGCTCGGGTATCCAGGGATGGGGCTCGAGGAGCTCTCGACAAGCTTAAACAAGCAGGCATTCTGCGGTGTGTGTGGAGTGAAGGCCCGCCGGAGGCAGTCTAGGTCAGCCTCAGAGACCAACGGACAGCACATGATGCAGTCTTGGCAGTTTAAGAGAGGATTCCAAGGAGCTCAGAATGATGATCATAAGCAGCGGGATGTGGAAGATGCCAAGAGCTTCAAGGGAGGGGAAGGTGGACGCGAGGGAGAAAAGCAAGATGAGCCGGAGATTGGCAAAATTTGTGAGCATAGTCTGGCGCAGACGAGGGATTTTCTGGCAAACATTAAGCGAGATGATGGCAAGATCAGACGAGCATGAGGATAGGGGGAAGGTTTAGCCGTTCTGACAGCGCTGACAAACTCGGTTCAGACGAGTGAGGTTTTTTGCTTCTGGCCTGGGGCCGGCGACAGGCCAAGAGTCAGGCGAAAGAGGGGTCTGGAATTCTATTTGACAGACGCAGTGAGAAAGTCATTCTTCTGCGGTGTTGGCGGCGCATCAGGAGCTTCAAATGGAAGGTCAGACAGCGCACGTGTGCGGTTGATACGACCTCGCTTGATCTTTCCCTGTCGCCCTTGATTCGCGAAATCCTACTCGCAATCACCTCAAGCGGGGTATCTCCACCCGGCTCACCGTGTTTCCCGCCTCCCATCGCCGCCATCGGCCTTCATGAACTCCTGTTGGACTCCTCCCGCGCGGTATGGTACGGTACGGTACGGTACCGACGCAGCGCTTTGACTGGGGCTTGTAGCAGAACGCGAAACCTCGTAGCATTTGTTTCTTGGCCACAGAAAGTCGTTTCCTCTTGCCGTCCTTTCTTCGTTTTCAGTTTCCATATAATGACGCTATGTTTCGCTCGCGCAAGAATGACGGCGTGGTTCTGCGCAGGAAGCGACCATCTCTTACATACACAGCCGAGCCAAGAAGTCCAACAGTCTGACTGTTGAACCGAAATGTCGTTTCCGCTGCCAGCACGAGACCGGTCATGTCGAGCCGCGAGCCCCTCTCTTGCTGATCATGCTATCTCCCACAAGCCAAGCCTATATTGGCCCCCTCGACGCGTCAAATCCAGCCACATAGCAAACTTGACACCGTTTCTTTGCGCAGAGCAAAATGCAACTCTTGACTTGTGCTGTCGGTCGGCGTTGCTTTGCATCCGGATGTTGTACTTTCCGGGGCTTACGACCCCCTGTAAATATGTCGGCAATTAGTGCTGTCACCTAGGTCTTTTGACGAAGCCACCGGCGCAAGCTCCTTCGGCCGACGCCGAGCCGACGGACTGCTGTCACGAATTGTTACTTGGCAGCATCATCGCCAACACCAACCGCTGGATACTGTCAGGTTTTCTGGATGGCAAGTTTTATTTCCACGTTTCGCGACAGAACCAAAACCAACACTTGGGATTAACGCTCGGTCGCTACCAATATGGCCCCTGTTGCTGATCACCTGGAGTCCTTGTCTCGCTTGATTTTCCGGTACTCTTATTTTCGTGAGGAGGCCTCATGCGGTTTGTGTCAGAGAGAAGAGCTCCATACACATCCACTCAACTGGGGCTTGATGGGCCACTTATTCTTCTAGAGTTCAACGCTGACCACTTTTCCAACGCAACAATGATGAATCCGCGCCTGATATTGACGAGCGGTTCGTTGATTTACTTTCTTGATCCTCTAAGATAGCATAATAGTAGGCGTGTTCAAGGGTTTTCGTAGCACGGACCTCAAGAACTTCATTGCTTCGTTGCAGTCGATGCTGAGCCCGAGCGTGAGGGTGGACGACGTTGAAAAGGAGCCCAGGCATTATCATAATCCGCTTGTACTTACCTTGCAGTTTGACTAGTTCACACAGACCGCAGAGTGTTCATGATGACCCCAGAGGCCATGACCGTGTCAGCAACTTACGAAATTTCCTCGAAATCTTGCCGATTAGAGGCATTCGGAAGATACTTTGGCTCCGAGCCAGCCGTTTTCGTAATGTTGGAAGTCATTCAGCACCTTTCTAATGCAAGTGAAGATGTCTTGCATGGGACGTGTACCTGTAATGCAGATTAATTTGCTGCTTCAAAGACCTGCTGACGATCGAAGAAGTAGAAGAAACTTTTGTGGAAGTCAGGTATTATTCGGCCCGGCGGTGAGGTTGACGAAGACTCCTCCCAAGATCATTGAGTGACCTGCAATTGCCGATCCAACAAGTCTTAGGCTGCACCATAGTCCAACGTACGCGATCGCACAAAAAGATTCATGACGTCAAGCTTTCGTTTACGCATTCATTGACAGTTAAACATGTTTGACTATTTAGCTAATAGCATTTCTAAAACAAGACAACTTCAACTCCTCTTCTGCGTGCTGCTTCATTTATGTCGAAGACCTCTGTCCCCGAAGCCTGTGCCTCGTCAAGCAGCTCAAATATGATCTTCAGAAAGTTGAACGGGTCTCTTTTGGACAAATGTTCACGAAAACTCTCCAGTGTGGTTTTCCATTCAGGATGGGCGCCCAGCTGGCGAAACTCTAAGCTGGCTGCTGTAACAGGAAACACCATCCCGTTCTGTATCAGCGAGTACTTTTCGCGGTCGAGGTCAAAACGGATATGCTTGTGAATAGCGTCCATCGCAGAGATCAGCCGGCACATGATCACGCCTGTATTTGGCGCGAACTGGGTTTCCTGCTGAGCTTGTCCGTCTTGGAGCCTTTTTCTTCTGCGAATTTCGAGAATCCCTGCGAACCGCCAACAGTCCCATAAGTGACACTGTATGAATTCGCCGATCTCACCGGGCCATATCCATAGTCTGGACTCGACACTTGCTTGAGGACCATCCGGTATATCGGCCAGTACGTCAATAAGAGATCGGGGCATTCCTATACCAACCTCGACTCCGCCAATCCTACCCCCGGGCCAACTGTCTTGGGTCTTTCTGAAGCGCTTCCAAAGCCCGATTGAGGGGCTTGCACGGCCGACCACATATAATGGCAAGTCCATGACGCACATAGACTCCAACATATGAAGCGTTGGAAGATCGCGCCCAGGGCCTGGCTCCAGCAAGTGCATTTTGGCGTCCAAGTTGTACAGATTTGCCATAAGTTGGACATACATCGTAAAAGGACGGGCTAACAAGAGCTACGCTCATCAGCATTGTAATGTTCAAGTCAGTTTACCTGTTTCGAATACTTTCACTTACACATAAGGAGCAGACCATCAATCCGGCAAAGGCAGTTGATGCCCTGATGTCGTCATGTTGGCTAGCAAGCTCAGCGCGGAATGTTCGGAGGGCAAGGTCAAGACGTTCCATGGAAGATACAGACAGATCATCGCACCCATCATCGACATAGCTCTGGATAGCGATGCCTATTATTCTGAGGGCCTTGCTTTGTGATGCCATGTCCTCGAAGATAGGCCTGATCCAAGACTGAGTCTCCGCGTTGTAGAGCTTGCCAAGGCCAGATTTCAAAACTGAGCGATTGTTAGTCTGCGACATCGACATTTTGAAAGGTTTCAAGAAAAAGAATTTGAAAACGTACAAGTTTCGAATAAGTTGTCCAGCCCGTCGAGGCCATCCTCATCTGGACGCGGCGGAAGCGGATGGTCGTCGTCTAACCTACGACTCTGTGGCTGGTCGCTGAGAACGCGGTAGGATGACGAAGCAGGGATGTTGACATTGCTAGTATCCAAGCCCCGATCCGTAGGCCGCGAGATCTCTGGTTCATCCGCGGAATGGATACTGATGGTATCGTTCACCCACCGGAGGGGTTTTGTGTACCCTTCACACTCAAGACCACGTCGCATGCAGGGACCGCACTCGGGGCGGGCTTCATCGCACTTCCGTTTTCGCCTCTTGCAAGTTGCGCAGCCGTTTCTCGAACGCGTTATTGGCCGCATTTTCCGCCTCGGGCACTTCGCTTTTCATAGTCGGCATTGGTGTGTTGGAATCAGGGGCCGGCCACGCAAATGTTCTCAACTGAGAGACTGAGTTGAATGGCGGCGCACTTGATGGACGAAATGGGAATGACGTGGGGACGGGAAGAATGCAGCGCACCGACGACCCTTAAAGAGTTTAGCGCTGAAGCAGCTTGTCTGCTGCACGGGCACCAAGACGATCTGTGGGCATGTTTTTGATTCAAACACAGCGGGTTGCTCCTGAGCCCCGGTCCTAGGTTGAAGAAGGCGACGACTCTCAGGACCGCATTTATCAGGATATTCAGTTGCTTACATGGAGCTTTGCTCTTGGACTCCTTTTCCGACTAACCACAAATGGATAATCATTGCGCCAAACATGGACTTCTGATGACAAACTGCGGCGCAATTGTCATGATCTTCCCCCTTCTGAACATGTTGCACATAGCACGACCAGTCATTGTCCGCGAAATGGCGATCCACTTGTTCCTGGTCCCCTCTCGCATGATGAGTGGTGGTTTTCACTTGAATCAGCATACCAGACTGGGTTTTTTCCTGAAAATATGTCAGGGTAATTGGGGGTAGTATATGAAGGTCGAAGCCCCCGACTTGCGCTTTTGTTGAAGACTCATCTGCAACCATCACACGATACCCCCTATTTCACTTCGAAACCAGGACATCTTTCTGGACACCTCAATCAACAAAACACTTCCGACATTATCTACCTCGATTTCCACGGACGGCATCGGCAATACAATATGACACCGCGAGAATGTCGAACAAGACAAACAAGAGACGCCGAGAACTCCCCTTCCCCTACGGACATAGATGTCGAACTTCTAGGCCGGCAGCGCCCGGCAGTGTTTGAGTCCTGGCTAACGGAGGTCGGCTTTTGCTCCTCACTACTTGGACTCATGCTAATGGGGGTAAGTTTATCTGATCAACATGCCCAACAGCGGCTGCTCTTTGGCTGACTCCAATCTCGCAGGAATATCTTGTCGGTGGCTTTCACATCATCCTCCCCCAGCTTGCTTCCGATCTAAATATCCCCAGCGAATCCCAGACGTGGCCATCGAGTGTATTTTCCCTTGTTGCTGGCGCCTGCCTTCTCCCGTTCGGCCGAATAAGCGAAAAGTTCGGAGGTTATGTTACGTTCAACATTGGTCTTGGATGGTTCTTCGTTTGGACTCTGTTGTCCGGCTTCAGCCATAATTATGTCATGCTCATAGCCTGTCGCGCTATGGCAGGTTTGGGTATTTCTGCAGTCCTTCCGGCCGGCATTATGATGCTCGGCAAGACCTATCGACCCGGACCTCGGAAGAATCTCGTGTTCGCGCTTTACGGTTCCTTCGCTCCTATTGGCTTTTTTTTCGGCATATTTATCGGCGGTCTGACGGGGCAATACTTGTCATGGAGATGGTACTTCTGGGTCGGCTCCATGATATTGGGCGTGCTCATCGCCATTTCTTTCTTTTCCATTCCGAAGGATTATGGCAACAAGCATGAAGTGCAGATGGATTGGCTGGGTACTGTTACGATCGTACCGGGTCTTGCGCTTCTTATCTACGCCCTTACAGACAGTTCTCAGGCTCCAGAGGGGTGGAAAAGCCCCCAGATTCTGGTCACCCTTATCGTTGGCGTTCTCTTGCTAGCCATCGGCTTTTACATCGAGAAATACGTCGCATCCAGCCCGCTTCTTCCGCCTGACCTTTTCTCGACAAAGTACATCAAGACTCTGATGTTGGCCCTATGGCTTACATACGGTGTTTTCGGGCTTTTTCTGTTTTACAGCAGTTTCTACATTGAGTTGGTTCTCCACGCACCGCCCCTGCTTACGGCTGCCTGGTATGTTCCCCTGGCTGCTGGAGGGGTAATAATCGGGCTCGTGGGAGGTTTCACTCTCCATTTACTCCCCGGAAGGCTTCTTTTGATCCTTTCGGGTTGTGGAAGTGTTGTGTGTGTTCTACTTTTTGCCATAATGCCTGAAGATCCAAGCTACTGGGCGTACGTCTTTCCGTCAATGGTCTGTGCAACAATTGGCATCGACATTGCTTTCACCGTCAGCAATGTATATATAACAACATCTCTACCTCAACATCATCAAGGACTTGCTGGCGCTCTCATCAACAGTCTGCTGTTTCTTGGAATCAGCTTCTGGTTGGGCATGGCGGACATAGCTGTCCATCAAACAACCGACTCCGGGCTCAGGTCCAGTTATAAATCGGCGTTTTGGGTTGGAGTAGGAGCAGCAACTGCCGCGGCTAGTCTTTTTTCCACTGTCAGGATTGGGTCAGCGAGTAGTGACTTGACAATGGAAGAGAAACGGCAGCGGGGAACAGCGGGCCAATCAATTTCGGAGGATCATCAGCCATAACATATGTAACAGAACTTGAGCATCTCTAAGATGGCGATACGTTGTACGAGAAAGCGATCAAAGTAATCTCAACCTCAGACTGCGTCTGCTGTACCCTAGTTGAGGGACACCCCCAAACGCTGATTCTAGCATCATTCATCAGATTCCATAGCATTGCCGTTGTCAAGCACTGTATTTGTTCCTCCCTTTTCCATTCATAACTCCCCCCTCAATCAAACCACAAATGATCGAGCTTTTGGCCTGTCATTTGAGCCGCTTCTTGTGCGCCTGCCTTCTGAATCACTTGAAATTCTCGTCATCTCCTGTCTAACTTGAACTTCCGTCTGTTTTTGGATTCCATTTCCCCCCAATATGATGGCTTCTTCGCTATCGTTGTTCGATGAATCTCCCGTATTCGCCGTTACTCTCCCTCCTCTACCCCCTGAAGAGATTACTGTGTGGTTCCCAGGTAGTCTGTCAGATAGGTCGGTCAAAGGATGAGATGTCCTCGTTTTGGTGCCAGTGTTTCCGCAGCTGTCAAGCGGATACCCCGCTCTGGATGAGGAAGAGCCCAACAGAGCCGGAAAGTATCTCTTGAAAAACACTTTCAAGGCCGAGGAGCAGCCGCAGAAGATGGCTACATAAAGCTCCAGCGCGTACCAGACGAGGGAGTAGGCCAGCTGTTGATAGAGCTCCGGCTCGTTTGCTAGTTGTCGCACATAGTAGAACCGGACGCATCCCGCTGGGAGATTATGGTAAGCGGAAGGCAGTCGGTGCTTTCTTACTCAACACTCACCAACAACTGATATGATACCCAGGGCAAACACGGCCGAGACTGCCCACTTTTGTCGCTGGTTCCATGTGAATGCGTGTATCTCGACAATGAGGGAAGGTGACTTACCTTCGGAAGCTGGAGATTCCAAATCATAGGGATCGGGCAGATCCAAAGACATATATCCGTGATGATGACGATAATACCGGCAGCATCCCAAAATGCTTGTTGTTTAGATTGCGTCATGCATTGTTGCATATAGATAATGCGGTCTCCTTTCGATGTCCAAAAGACCTCCGGTGGACTGCACTCGATAACAGACATGACAAAGTGCCCCACGCCCATGCCGATAACAACCACTGTGAGGCTATGGACCGCCCATCTCATGAGTAGTCGATCATCAAGGCGCAAGTAGAACAGAAGCAGGGCGACCTTGACGAGCACCATGGCGATTGCATACAGTAAGCGGGAGACCCAAAACGACTACACCGCATTGCTGTCAGTACTTTTTGAATGTTGCGAGCTCGATGCAGAAACGTGTTGACAATCACGTCACTCACTAGAAGCATGGGCTCCCAAGCCTCTGCTGGAATGTCTACTCCTGACTTTTGTTAGCAATGGGGAGGAGCTGGGGTTGGAGAAAGAGAACTCACTGGCCATCCCAATACCGCGAACGACCGAAATCATTACAGTGATAGACAATGCGATTGTCATCAACTGAACAAGTTAGTGTTGCAAATTCGCATTACCCGGAGAGAATAACGGATTCCTCTCATGGTGTCTTACTGTTCCAAATACCATCATAACTAGCAACTGTGAATCAGTACCGTCGTCTCTATGACGCAGTCTCTTTAAATAATGTACTTACTATCGTCGAAGCCAATAGCCTTCGTGATGACGAGCCTCGCCCACATTCGCATTCCCATAACGATGATTATAAAGATGATAAAACCGGCGTTGATTCCAAGAGCTCTGCATTGAGCTTGATTGAGTTCCATGGCTAAAGCTTCGTCAGTAGCTTGGCGTGCGAACACAAGTAAATCGGTCATCACCGTGCCCGTTGGAAACGAAGGGACGCGCAAGTTGAGCAATTCAGACAAGCGTTCCACGCCAGGAGTCTAATAAGGAACGCGGGATGGGAATCTTTAAGGCCAGCATTTTTTGAAGCCAAGGAAGCCGCAGTTTTCAAGACACCCTCCGCTCGGACATTTTGAAGGGTATTCTGTCGCATTGCTACATGTCAGGGAGCTGAACCGGAAAACGGCTTATACGGTTGGAAATCGCCTGCCCTGCTGACGTCTAGGCAACCTTCGCCTGTTTGGAGGATCAGAGCAGCGAGTCATTCAAAATATTTGGCGTGGTTGGTCGAACAAGTGATCAGTAATGATTTGTCACACGAAGGGCTCCCATGATGCCCATTCCGTCGAGCCAATGAAGAAATATTCTCATTCCTAAGACCAACTTGGGCGTGCGCTCCATGTGGAAATCTTCTGCATCTTCGAACATAACGCAGCGACTAGGACGGCTCTTCATTGATGAATTTGAACACCCATGGTAGGGCTTGCAACATAAGCCAATGCGTACCAACTTTTGTGGTCTCATAATTCCTCCGACTATCTCCACATGAGTGTGTTTTTTGACCCTCATGGACGATCAAAGCCCATGCAATTGATCCTTGCATATTGGTCCAGGGCCCTCTGCAGGCTGTTAATTCGCTCCATTCACAGTGGCCTTCCTTTCTGAGGAACGGTTGGTTCGTGATCCCCGGCCCTACGGTGCCCACGCCACTACTTGTTGAAAGATGGTCGTTTCCAGGGGACTGAAGACGGAGCGAGTGGAGATGACCCAAGAATCATTGACGCACGAACGTGATGCTTAGACGTTTTTGTGGCGTGTTATGTGGAGTTCGATCTCACATTCTTTGAGGTCTTCCCTGTTGATCTATTGTTTGCTGATTAAGACATCTAGATGCTGTCATCCGCATGGATACCTGCAAGAACATTACTGTCATGGTTGTCGAAGTTAATCGCACCTTCACAATCGAGGCTTTAGTCGCAGCAGGAAATATCTAAGAAGGGGAGCGTGCGAAATCGAGCTTGACAGTTCGAGAGATACGGCGTCTAGAGACATGTACGGAGGCATTACTGAGTAAGTAGCCGCGCGTGGGTTGCTAGTCCTTGTAAGCATCCTTGTGTGCATAACCCTCCCCTGCTTCGGCTAAAGCCACGGACGCCATGAATCTTAAGTTGCGGAACATTTCCTTGCTTGGAATGCCTCTAGCTATTTACAATCCAGGGTTGAGCCATCAATGTCACACCTGCATGACGGGAGCGACATGGAGCATTTCGAGAGCCGTCATTGAACACAGCAACAGCTCTGCGGGCTTCTGTCTCTGGGAACTCACAGTGAGACGGAGAATCTGATGTGACTGGTCGAAACAAGTCCAGACTGACTAGCTTGATGGCGAGTGCGGCGGTGCCTTATTGAGCAGCCCAAGGAGATTCAACATCCATGAGATGTGGACCCTTGAGCCATGTCGTGCATACGGAATCCACAAAGAGGAGGCAGGGAGATTGACAGTTCGTCTAATGGTTTTATCTGGTTGGTGCACATCGACAAGCGGGGAACCCGGTTGACCCTCCTGTCTCTCGGGTCGTTTTTACAGTCCGAGAAGTAGCAAAAGGCCCCATTCCCGTATTTTGGCCCGGAGAAAGCTGAACGCACCCCTATCGAGAACAAAGTTGAGAAGGTTCACAGCGTTGTGATCGATTAGCATGCGGCTAGAACAGAGTTTCGGGAAGACGTGGACTTCCCGTCAAGGTTCAAGGACATGGACAGTTGGTGATGGTTGGATCGGTGGGTGATGTACCCGCGCTCGTCTGGAGCCACTCAAAGTCACCTCACCAAAAGCATCTTCCAGGTCCAATGCTCGAGTCGGGAAATGCTGCAAAGAGCATGCTTCGTCCGGCCGGGTCCGGAGTCGGGGCCGTAAAAGCGGGTCTCTCGGTGGTGTGGATCCTGCAGCACGGTCAGCACCGGGCAGCACCTGGTGGGCGGTATTACATAATCGCTCCATTTATCCGGACTTTTACCACCTCACTCCCTCCCAGCCGGCTCCATCTGGCATGCGACTAATTTGTCTCGGAGGCGCCTTCTCCTTTCTCGTTTGGTGCCACTCCTTCCTTCACGCGGCCTCTCACCCACGCGACGCCGTCTCTCAACTTCAACGTCGGCAACCAGATATTTTGCCTCCCCCGATTTGGTCTCGCATCGGAAAAATGACAGCTCCTCACGATGTCCACATTCAATGGTCTTGTCGCAGAGTTTCCTGATATTCGCAGTAAGTCCTTGCTGACGAAAAAGTAGCATCACTGTGACCCTGGGGCCCGCGTGATAGCTTCGCCTTCACCTTGCTGCCTCTCGCCCCGACGCGCCTTTTCCCTCGAAATTTCGTTGCTGATTGCGTTGCAGTTGACTTCTTCCGGAAACATGCCGGCCATCATCCGCCACTCGCGTGCTTCCTGAGCCATATTCACAGCGACCACCTCGCAGGGTTGGAAAGCCTCCGCTCTCCGTTTGTCTACTGCTCCGCAGCCACGCGGGAGATGCTCCTCCGTCTCGAACGCTATCCCTGTCGCATCAACTACGCCAAGGGTATTCTGGAGGCTCGCGTGCAGACGTACAAGCATCTCAAGAATCTCCTCAAACCGCTGCCCCTGGATACGCCAACCACCCTCGAGCTTGCTCCCGGAAGATGCATCCAGGTCACTTTGCTCGATGCGAACCACTGCCCCGGTTCTGTAATGTTCCTGATCGAGGACACCCATCACGCCGTTCTCTATACGGGTGACATCCGAAGCGAACCGTGGTTCGTCAATGCCGTCGCCAGAAACCCAGCTGTCGTTGAGTACACCTGTGGCATCAAGACGCTTGACAAGATTTACCTCGACACCTCTTTTATCCAGAATGTCCCGTTTCAAACAAAGGCCAATGGCATTGCAGAGCTGTTGCGCAAGGTCGCTGTATATCCCGATGACACCATCTTCCACATCCAAGCATGGACCTACGGGTACGAGCAAGTATGGATCGCCTTGTCCAAGGCCTTGAGATCCAGGATCCACGTGGATGACTACAAGATGCGCGTCTTCTCTTCCTTGACTGGCAAGGCCTCGAACGATCGCTTCAGCTCGTCCATACATCTGTGCCCTGAGGCACCGGCGTTGGCTGGTTACATATGCGGCAATACACCCCATCCAGGTTGTCTCACACGGGACGAGCACGTTCGGCTGCATAGTTGTGAGAGAGGCAACTTTTGCTCAGTTGTTCGAGGCTCAAAAGTTGTTTCCATCCAACCCCTTGTCGCTCATCTTTCCAACGGAGCCGAAATTGCCGAGGTCGGTGTCGGCGGCGGCGGAGACGACCTAGAGCGGGACGCAGAGCTTGACACGCTGTCGTCCGCCGATGTCGAAGCCGTGCTCGCTTTGCTCAAGGAGAAGGGCGATCTTTCTCAGGAATCAAGGTCGCTGCTCCGGGAGCTCCTCGAAAATGGGGTAAACACCGGGCGGAACATGTCTCTCGACATCGACATCTCATCCTTTGGAGAGAAGAACGAAGCAGCAATCCTCGATGCCTTCCGGTCGATTGGGCAAAAGAGACAACCACCCAGCTCTAGTTTCCTCAGCACGGGAACCGATTCCGAACCTCCCTTGCCAAAAACCATCACTTTTCCTTACTCCCGGCACTCATGCTACCAAGAGCTCTGCGACCTCGTCCGAATATTCCAACCGAAAGATGTCTGGCCTTGCACCGTCAATCCCACAGACTGGGTCAGGGATAACATCACCATCCATTCTCTATTCGGAAACTTTTGCTCTGGTGACAGTTTCGCACATGACCTCGAAATGGAAAGGTTCGCCAGCCGGATTGCGGGACCGCTCGAGCAACGGGTGTCTCAAAACATTGACACCAGTCAACCCTCTGAGGGTGACATTGGCATGCCAACGTCGCATTTCTCGCAAACAGGTCAAGCAGCCGAACCCGAGGCAGCCGTTCAAGAACCCGAAAGGACCGTGAATGACGCGACCGCCGGGTCCGTGACGTCGCAACGGTCCATTGGGTCGGGACGGGGCTGTTCAGACGGAGAGGGCCGGAAAAGCCAAGAGTTTTCCGTTGTCAGCACTTCGAAGAGAAAACCATCGTCGTCTCGTGGAGTTTCAAGCGTACGAGCGGATGCATATCTGAACATGGCAAGGAATCTTGTTGGGGGCGAGTGGACCCCGATCGGTTTGCTGTCCACCTTTGACCATCATACAATGCTTGATAAGGAGCTAGGAGGAAGATAGAAACTTGCCGGCGTCTCACTTTGTAGATACCCCGCACCATATCGCATCAAAATAAGGGAAATAATGCTTAGAGACTATGATTATCATTGACGGTTGGTTCAGCTCAGTTGATGAGCTCTGAGGACTATGGATCCAGGCTCGCAGCGCTGCTGCATCCCAGCCTTGCACCCAGTGGTACACACACACCTCCGCCCAAACAAAGGAGATGTTTTTCGCTCGTCGACGCACTTCTACTGTGGACGCAGCGCGCCGGCCTCCGATACACCCCATCTTCCATGGATATACTGCCGCAAGCTCTTTCCCCAGAACGCGAGCGGCACAGCGATGCCACCCACCACAAGTAAGATGGCGCCCAGCTCGAAACTGGCGCCGAGGTAACCCTGTGACTTGAGCCACGGGGTGACTGCATAAGATGTTGCGAAACTCAACATGTATCCACCTCCTCCGACAATGATCATCGCCGGAGCGGCCCAGCGGGGGAAGGCTTCGGTGACCCAGAGTGTGGAGGCGATGCCGTACGCCGCGGCGCTGAAAGCGTTCAAGACATAGGAAACAAAGATCCAGATAAAGTTCCACTTGTAGTTTACCGTGAGGCCGTAGACGAATACGCTGCCTGCGCCGGCAAGTACAGCGGGTAGGAATGCGATGAGGTAGTGCTCCGCATCGCGTATGCCGCCGTTGCGGAGTGTGAGGCGCCGAGCAACCCGGGATGTCAGGATGGTCGACACAGGCCAAGCAAGGAATGATCCGATTGCTGCAACGGGATTCACCATGGAGATGACGCGCTCCGGAAGGTTGTACGGCGGTTGCGCCATCACCATCGCGTATGTCTCGCCGATGAAGATCATGGCGCCGAAGTTGAGGGCGTTGAGGATGGCAACCCAGAAGACGAGGGGGTTGGCCGCGCACAGCAGTGTCTGCAAGTAGCAATTCCACATCTCTCTGAAGCCAGCACCGCCCTTGCGAACTCCCCACTGACGCACCATCGTCGACCACATCGTCTCAGGAGGGGGCACTTCGGTGACTGCGGCGATGGCAGCAGCCTTGCCGCCCGGGATTGCTTCCCAGTCGTCGTACATCTGGATCTTCTCTGAGCCTCCTTGTACAAGGACGTGGCCGTCAAATGCTATGGCCGGTCGCACGAAGTAGGTCTCGGGGAAGAAGAAAAAGACGCAAACGAGAAGGGCTAGGCAGGGAACCACCCAGGCTGTGTAGAACGCCCTCCATCCTGATTCGGAGAGAGCAGTGACACTTGGTAGCGAGAGAAGACCGAGGCCACATCCCACGCTCCAGAAGAAACCCAACGCGTTCGGTCGCTCGTCAATGAAAGTGAGATCAATGACCATGAGCATTGCCTAAGCCAAAGGTTAGCCCGAGTCCGATGAGAAATAGTGTCTTAAACATACAGCGCTCAAGCTCAAGCCCGCAGAAAACCCTTGCAGACTCAGCGCCGCAAGGAGTTGGTAGAAACCAGAGGCGTTTGCTGCAAGGACGGTAGCGACAGTCAAGCAGACCGAAGCAAGGAGGAACACCGGTCGCCTTCCCAAAGCCACTGACAGCGGAATCCAAAAGAAGGCACCGAGGCCGAGGAAGATGGTGCTAGGCGTCGAGACGAGGATATTCAACGGGTATTTGTCAGGTTGCTGCAACATGTTAGTCCAACTTGTGGTCAAGTCTAGACAGCGTCCGACGACTAACCCCTGCGTTAAACTCGGCAGCAAGCGAACGATACATCAGGCTAGCAGCCTGGGTCTCCATCATGGAAACCACCGAGTACAGCGCGATAACACATAGAGCAACGATTCGCTTTCGAGGGCTCCAGTTAAGCGGATCGTATGGCGAGTTGCTGGGCATGGGCAGCTTGAGCGTCTTTCCGTCGGACGTGATCAGGTAGATGCTGCCGGCCAGGTCGGCTGAGACCGGCCGTTGGCTAGCGCGGGACGAACTCAACGAACTCATGTTTGTAGTGTATGGTCGGCGAGTCGACCGAGCGTTAGGAAGGCAGAGACAAAAAGAGAGATAGAGAGAGAGACTCAAGAGAGCGAACGCGATATAACTGCAGTAACCCAAAGGTCAGATTAAAGATGGCCGGTGTGCTGCCAGAACAACTGCCCGTAAAACCCCAACATCATTGTCTGCGTAGATTACAGAAACGGCAGACCACATTCCTTTTGAATAAGGCTCGGAAAGTTTGTTTTTGACATGGCAGGAAGGCCACGCCGTCCATGGGCTGGCGGTCCGCGGGAGGCTCGGTGGCAGCTGCGACAATCACTGAACGATTTGGGAAGCGTCAAAAAGTCTATTGGAATTAACAACTCTAGCGCCAAGGAGAACAGCAGACTCAAGGTAGGTGAAGAAAGTAGGGCTGATTGCTTGCTCCCCGCCGCCATCTGAAACTGGCGCCATGGCCCCTGGATGAGGCTATTCGCTATTGCGGGATGCCCCCTGGCGCCCGTAACTGCGTCTCAATGTATCAAGAGAGAGACAAGAGAGGATGGGTGTAGGGAAACAAGATGGCTCGCCCCAGTCGCGGGGGTTCGGCGGGGGGAGACAGTCTTTCGTGTTTGTTTGCAGTAAACACAACTACGACGACGGGGTGCAACGCCGCCGAAGAGACGAAAGTTTATGTGCCCGACAGTGACCAGAACTGCCTCCCCCAGATAAAAAGAGTATGCCCTGCCCGTTGACTGATCACATACAGGTTCGTGCCCGAAGTCTAAAGTTCTGGCAACTCCGGACGGGCAGCAAATTGAGCCTGGCGGCCCCTGCTTAGACAACGGGCGACTCACCAAAAGCGTTTCAAGCGGAAGTTTATTCACGACCTTTCAGAGGCTTCAGAGGTGCGCTAGTCTGCAGTCTCTTCATATTGCAACGCTGTCGATATTGTGATGGCCCCGCGCAGGTGGCATCATGACGCCAAGGCTTTTCGACCTGCTCGGAATGTGCAAACGAAGTCGGCCTGGGTCTGCCTGTCGGCACCATCCGTGCCAGTCGGCGTTTGCAGCACTCGATGTTTCGCCCGAACCCGTCCCGCCTGCTGGAGATGCAGAGAAGCGAGTTGAAGCTGCGAGGGAAGAAGGCTAAGCGAATAGACATGAGATGTTCTGCTCGCGGTCAAAGACTCGATTTCTGGCGAGTGTGTGTTTTCTGCTCGACTAATCTCGCGAAGGATATCCCAAGTAGTCGGCGATAGGACGTGTCCGAGTGCTTCCATCTCATGCACAGCATGCCCGTTTCTGCACGTAGTACGCACTCAACACCACACCACCCGCTATCTGTTTCTCATTACTCAGAAGTTGCATCGCGAGACGGCACGCTAACCTTGAGTCCATCCGTCGGCCGAGTCTGGAGGAGCAGCGGGTTTCAGGACATATTGTTCGTCGCTTCTGCGTTGTCATTCTGGCACTGGCTGTAGGCGAGGTAGCATCAAAAGGGCAACTGACTGGGCGAACGGACATTCTGCTGTGCGGAGAAGTCCATCTTCTGACCAAGGGTTCAACCATATCTCCATTTGGATCGAGAGATCAGTTGCATGCTGCGTTCTCTCTGCTAGCTACCAAAAACAAAACCTCGCCAACGGGCCAAGCATGCGTCAAGCCACAGACTTGGCTAGACCCGGGCCGCCTTTACCCACATTACTACGTCTGACGGGTGTTCACTGGGGCGTCGGAGGCTCACCCCGCGAGCGCAAGTAAGAAGCGCACCGGAAGAGGCCCCCGCATTGGCGGACGGAAGCTCGGGGAGTTAGCAGCCTATGACCGTCGTTGGGGGCCGCCGCCAGCCTGGGTGCGGAGGCTTTTCGCGGGATGGGTTGGATTGATGCAGAGGCACCAGACCAGACCCCAATCAAGCACCACCCATCCAAGATTACCAAGCCGCGAACAGGTGGCGTGTGTAGCCGCACGAAACACAGGCAATGAAACCAGGAGACAAAGGCAAAAACAGTAGCAGTAGTCTGCTATTTTGACGTTGGCGGGAAGAAGACGCGTTGCGCCGGTGGGTTTCCTGTGCCTGTGTCAAATAAACACGCCACTTGGTGCTGCAGCGTCAAGCGGTAACATTCAAAACCTATGTTCAACGCCGCATCGCTTCCACATTCTGGTATGTAGGCTTACGCGCCTCGTGATGTTTGCCACTGAAAATACCTTGACGCCTCATCTCAGAACTGTACATATCCGATTCTTCAGCCCTGGGCGTCGTCACCTCCGTCCGTTGTTGCTCTTCAACTGGTCGACATCTCGTGCTCAGCTCTGCAAAGTGCTGTCTAGGCCGGGACTGCTACGTTGCAGCATTATCCCGCAGTAAATATTAGCGATTGATTCACATCCCTTTCGGTCGTGTAAGCTCTTCGGGTCCGTCTCAGCCGGTGTGCTCGCCAGTCATGTTCGCATCCGAAAACGTCCCAAGCTCAATAGCAGTCTTCAATTATCAATGCGGTGCAAGACGTCGTAATGGCCTGCGAAAAGGTTTTTGTGCTGCTTCGACTTTGTGACGGTCACATGCAACCCGCCCTCCTGGGGGGGGCGCGATTCATCAGGTCTTGTCGCCATCTTCGAACTGCGGCGCAATGCATCCCGAAGTCCAGGGCCTGGATTGACACGGGACGGTGCATTGGACCATTGGACATGGGCATACTATGTAGGGGCAACCAGCATCGAGACGAGAGATGGGGGCCAAGGGCCGTTTGCTGGGAAAGATCGGCAAGATCCCGAACATCAGCCAGCTGGGGAACGGCCATGGGAAAACAGAAATGCCTCCAGAGAGAAGAAGCCAAAGCCGCCGCCGCCGCCGCCGCTGTGGTTTCGGTGTCCATGCTCGTCCCGTACGCGACCCAAACGTTTCCTGCCAACGGCTCGTCGCCCAGCTTTTCCCAGTGAGTTCTTAGGACAGTACAAAGCGTGGAGAGGGAGCATGGAGGACACACGGCGCGCCTGCACATGAGGAGGAGCTTGTACCGATACGTCCATGGCGCGGACACAGCAGCCATTGAGAAGAAGGAATCAGGGCAGGGATGTGAGCGTGGGCGCTGGAACAAACGGCCTGTCTGGCCGAAGAGGCCCTCTCCATTCTGGCGGACTCTGGCCAGTCTGCGTGAAGAGCGACACTCCGCATATTAGCCGTGGCGCGGGTTCGCGGCCCGGCGGGCAGCGCACACGGAGGTTTGAGGTTTCTCGTGGGCCAATGTAGCCCGTATCGCCCGTATCGCCCGCGTCGACACCCCCGGCTTGGGGGTCATTTCACCCGGCGATTTGGCGATGGTGCAATGAGAAGCAATCTATCTCATTGCACACGGGGTCGACGGACCCTCTTGCTCCCCTCCTGCCCTCTTGAAGCGCCGAGATGCTCTGGGTGCAGTGCGGTGCTTAGCCAGAACCAGAAACAGAACGCGCGGGCCCAAGCTGTCGGCCCAGAGTCCGTTAACTGCGGCCACGCTGATTGATGCCAGGGTCTGGGCTGGACTAGGGATGGGAATCGTGGAATCATGGAGTAAGATGCCGATGGAAGAATTGTGGGAACATTCTTGTGCACCCCCCATCATGGATGCAGATAAAGGCTTCGTGATGCCCCAGAGTACTCACACACCGGATGGTTTGTTCTAGTTGGAAAGGGTCTGCTGTTCTTGTTGTCTCTCCGTACCAGCTTTACTTCAACTTCGCACTCACTACATCTACAACAAGACGCAATCCATTTGTTATTTTTCTTCTCGGTATCCTGCGTCCGCCGCTTCAGTTTTTGCCCTGTTTGGGACGGTCACGAGGTGCCATTCTGCACTCGATTCGGAACTACAACCGCTGTCAAGAAAAACCCCCCTGAAGGGCTGCCTTTGGACTAGACCTGTTCCTGCGCCGCCGAGGTTCCCGTCCGCGTCTTTTGTGGCTGACAGGCTGGCTGGACTGGCTTTTCCACCACTTGGGGATCACCAAAACGTTGAAGAATCCGGGGCTTTGTGGTGTGTTCGCGGCATCACGAGACGGGTCGCAACATATAAGAAGAGGATTATTACGACGAACGGGGTTTGCGCGTCGTCCGGTCGGCTCGGGGCCCAAGACGATTGGATTGGATCTCATTTGCCCTGGTCAACAACTCCCGAAATTGGATTCGAGGAACACTTGGTCCGACGCCGTTATTACACCATTTCCACTCATCAGTCGGCAGCTGACTTTCTTGTTTCTGCCAATACCTACTTACGTATCAGTCGAGATCTCGCTTCTTCCTGTTGGCTGACTGCAGCACGGCACGCGACTTGAGGTACTGATGGATGCAGAGTATCTCTACTAGCCACAGTAATCACCAGGACCAGGAGATACAGCAACTACTGCGTACAATCATCCCAGACTCTGGGCAACAACGGCAGCTCGGATGATGAAGGCCCGCTGGGCCGCTGGCCCCACTGAGGCGCCCCCCGCAAATGCAAATGCAACTGGGGAGGGCGGAAAAGGAGGAGAAGGGGGTGGTGGTGGTGGTGGGCAGGAAATTGGGGGAGGGGGAGGGGGATTTGGAGATGCAGAAGTACATTTACATGAACATGAATATGGACATGGACATGCCGGCATCTTCTCATCCTCAGCGACCTTGACCGAGAACCTGGGCAACTTGTCGAATCATCCAACAGCTGGTGGCAACACAACATCAGCTTCCGCTGCTGCGTCTGTCAACAACAAGCCACCACCCTCCAGGCCGAGTTTGGGGAAGAAGGGTCGCAGGGGTCATTCATCTGGGTCTGGGTCTGGATCTATCTCCATCATCTCTAGTGGTGGTTTGAGCACAGGAAGTTCATCCCCAAGCTCCTCACGCAGAACATCCGCCCGCATTCTTAAGACCTCCCCGCCGTCATCTGCCGCCGCGTCCCGGGCCACCTCCGTCTCCCCTACCACCGTCTTGTCTTCTTCCACAACCACAACCACCTCTCCTTCTCCCGTGTCTGCGGCCACCACTGCTGCAACCTCGGCCGCGACGAC